AAATTAGCAAATTATTTTGAGTTAGAAATTCGTAAAAATTGTTCTTTTTAAATCTAAGATTTTAAAATGTAATACAAGATTCCTTATAAGAAGGGGAACTAGAGGGACAGAATTTTGAAACTTGTTTTCCAGAGCAGCTAGCCAGGCACTCTGACCTTCCACAAGGCTGATTCTATCGCCTAGAGCTCGAAAGTGTCGCTAAGCGCGCGTTAGGAGTTGGTTGCACATTTCTTTACGGCATCTTCAAGACTTGACATGGTGATATCAAAATCAGTGGCAGGAAATATAGGGGAGGGATAATAGCTTGAAGGGTTGAACCTATCAGGCTGTTTAATCTGGCGTTGAGCAGCACTATGCATGGATCAGTAACGGGGAGAGCACAAAAAGAAATTTATAATAATGAAGATAATTAAATATTTTTAACGAAAATCTTTTAAGAGACTGTAATAATAAAGTAATATAATGATGATGAAAATATTTATAATATGAATTAATTAACAAGCCAAAACTAAATTGACTCAATAGAATAATACATTTTTAATAATATCAACTTCAGTAATATAATAATATTTAAGGGACATATAAGGGGAAATAGTGACAGTTATATTGAAGTTATAATAAATAAAATTGTTTCTAAGCAATAGAACAAATACACTGGTCCAAGTACTATAATAATACCATACAGTGAATTGATTTTCTATGCGAAACACCAATTCATAAATAAAGCAAGAACAATATAATAATAATACTAATGTGACAGTTAATTTAAATGTAATAACTGACACACAGTCAATAAAAAATTTATTATAGATTAAATAGAATATTTAAATTATATGCACTGAGCACACAAGAATATTAGTGTAATAATAACGTACTAATAAAATAATATAAATTGTTATCCTACAAGATAGATACCTACTATAGGGGAAAATAATTGTAATTTTGAATAATATTATTAAAATAATATTTTAACTATAACAGAAGAGTAATAAAGGGAATATTATTTTAATATAAGAAAACTAAATGTCCTAAGACAGGTAATAATAAAATTAAGTTAATATGATAGTTTTAAAACAAGATAGGGGCCCTGAGTGGGACAAAGCTACCTGGTCCTTTGCCTACCTAGCACAGCACGTCAGTCGTCGTTTTATAATAATTTTAACTGAGGGAAATATATTTTAGAATAAGGGGAATACATACTGATTTTAAATAATAATAGAGGGAGTGAATTAACATTTTAAATAAAATAATTGTGGGGACACAGCTTGCAAGAGAGAATAAGAATTTTTTATATTTTAGAGGCTAATAGCTTGAATAATGAGATGTTTTCTTAATTGTTAATATTGAGTTAATATTTGTGTTTAATATAATAGTTTAATTTATAAGCAATATCTGTATTGAAAAAAAAAAAAAAAATGAAGATAAAAATGAAGATGAAAATGTGATTTAAGTAGGTAATAATAATAATTTTGCTGTCTACCAAGGTATAATATTTAATTTATGACATTTTATATAATAATAATTTTACAAGCCAATGGGCATAATAATGTTCGTAATTCGCAGATTTTAATATATAATAAGTGGACCATTAGGTCTTAAACAAAATCACAGGTTATAATACTATCATTTTGACCATGTGGTCTGGGGACATAGTATAAGTTATCGCAGCGCAACTACCAGAAATGATCCTAACGGTATTTTGTGAGGGAGGAAAAAACGGGTCTAGGGAACATAATTAAGGGGGGGAAATAGGGGAAAAATCAATAATCATACCATGGGGAAAAGACGACCTCGTTTGCAGTGTCCGGTTCCTTGTCGCCGCAGCTGTCAGGCTGAATCCGTCACCGTCAAAACGCCTCTGCCGCATCCACAGCCAGCAGACACACCGAGCAGAAACAATTTCTGGAAATAATTACTGGATAACAACTGTATTTTGGGGGACAAAAAAAAAATGAATAATAATAGAAAGTTTACCTTGGTAGGTGTGCATCATTCTGCTTATAGTAATAGTTTATACAATATATTTTTTTTTCTACCAAAGGTAAATTTTCATGAGAATAATATGACTGTTAATTTAAGTATAATAATAATGAGAAGCCTCTTGCAAGAGTATAAACTTTTTCTCAGTCATATTGACATAATTTAATTTAATAAAAATATGAGAGATTTGGGGAGTTATAATAGTAGGGAGTTTGGGAGATTTAATTTTAAGAGTTATTAATGATGAGAGAATACAAGTTGGGAGGATGAAATTAGATAATTAATTTTGAAGTGCCATGTGCTTGCCAGAAAAATGACGTTTGAGACCTTTTGCCATTGAGAAAGAGATTTTAATATTTTAAGCGTGGTTAATTTAAGTTTATAAGAGAGAGAGAGAAAAAAAAATATATTATTAGTTACAAGGGGGATTTTGGGACATGAGTCCTGTCATGGTGGCAATATTTGAGAATCTGGTAGTTTGTGAGACTACCAAAAACCACCCACGACAAAAGGGGAACACTTTAATTTTCGGTCGAAAACATAGCTCACGACTTCAATCACTAAGCCCAATATAATGTTCTGATATGAATTTTCAAAGCAGATTTGAATTCGTCACTAAATTATCTATGCTTCGACAATTCATTTTTCTGATTATTATTTTTTTTTTACTAGAAATTTACTACCAAAATGAGTAAAAATAGATCATATTTATAATTCAAATTTAATACATTGATGTAGAATATAAAAAATGTACAGTCAAAGCATAGTAAATTTAGAGGAGAATTCAAATCTGATTTCAAAATTTAAATCGGAACATCCTACTGAACGGAGTGATTGAAGTCACTGGCAGTATTTTAAAAAATGTTCCTAATTTTATAAAGTAATATTTGGTGACATGTGCATGCGCGTAGGTAAAATGACCGACGTATTATAATGCTCTTAAGGTGGGTACACACTGGAGCACTTAGGTCTAGGTGTAATGTAACAAAGTTCTGCTGAATGTTACAATGTTCCAATGTTACACGACCAGTCTGTACAGTAAATTCGAGCATTTAGTTGTTCGTCGGTCCTTAAATCAGTTATTCACAGTTAACTCTTAAGATAGTTCACATCATGTGCAATGTCTTCTAATCGAAATTTACAAGTCGCTAGTGCATCATTTATTTTAATTCATTCTGTTTTAAAATAAAATAAAAAAAATGTGAAAGAAAACGGTGGCAAACAAAGTTAATGAAGTCTAGAGACATTTATAATGGATCAGATTTACTAACCCCTTCAGTCCCGAATCTTTTTTTTTGTTGTAATTTTTGTAACTTTTGGGATATTAGTAATCCTTTTTATAATGTACTATTTTCACTTATATTTTTTTATCACATATTTGTAGGAACTTCATTTTCTTCATGATATTAAGTAAAACATTGGTTTCTATTTGTGAAACACAAGTGAACTAGATTTTATACAAAATACATGACTACTTGCATCCATTATACTTTCAACGAATGGTATTATCTAATTTGTCAAAATGAGGAAGATGACCTATATAATCATACCTTACTTCATCAAATGGTCGCTTTTAATATTTTTTTTATGTTTTTCTGGAGTAGAGGATAGTGATGGTGATGATGAAACTTTGCTACATCTAGGTCTTCCTCTCTTCCTAACAACAATATTATCAACTAAAATAAGAGTTTTAGACAAACGCTCTTTGAAATGCAGTGAGTCCATAATATGTTTTTTATTAACATTCAAATGCTTACAATTCATTTTATATTCTAGCCTACTATTTACTGTTGCCATATCAAAAGCATGTGTAACCATTCTTAAAGTCCATTTTCTTGATTTCATAAAAGTTTTGAAGAACTAATGACTAATTTGTCATTTTTGTCAACGCGTCCCATTAATTGATTGTAAAGTTTCACTATTTCTGGTCTGTTTATTAAAATGTATTTTTTTTCTTTTTTATCGTACCTAGAAACTTCATCTGTAGTCCCTGAAATTATACAATTTGAGTCTAATAAAACTGGTTTGTTATCATACCACTAACAAGTCCAATTTTTGCTGTTGGGTACATCAGAACTTACCTCAAATGTAGTTCCACGGCCCATTTTAGATAATTCTTTATCAGTCAAAAATGGTGGTTTAACAAATCTTTTAACTCTGTTAGTTCCAGCAGCAAAAATTTGTTTATGTTGTAATGCATGAAGTAGGTTAAAAGATGTGAAAAAAAATGTTGATTTTTTCCTAGTAGATCCGTAAGATGTAAAACAACAGCACTACCTAAAACATATTTTTTGTATATCTTGATTTAATTCTGTAGTAGATCCTTGGTATATTATAAAGTTATAAGCTATACCATTTTCGCCACATAATAAGTACAATTTAATTCCCCATGGATTTGGTTTACCTCTCATGTACTGTTTTACACTGAGTTTTCCTTTAACCATTTAAAGGAACCATTTGTTCATCAACACTTATATTCTTCTCAATGGGTAGTTCATTACATATTTTTTTCAATAAATCATAAAGTGTCCTTACTTTTATAAATAATTCTGTATTGTTTGTAGGAACGGTGTTGTTGTCAATAACATGAAAATTAAACCGTAATTCATAAACTCTATTTCGTGTCATATTATCAGCAATAGTATTTGTTCTATTTTTTTGTTCCCAATACATACGGATTCGGGGCAAATTTAATACACCCATGTATATGTTAATACCTACAAATATTTTCATTTCTTTTGAATTAGTGGGTTTCCAATTTAATCTCCCTGTTTGTTCAGTATAGGTATTAGTATAATTTGCCATATTTTCAAACTCACTTTCTGGAAAATATTTTGAAAAGTAGTCAAGTGGTGTAGGTGTACTATTAGGATACAAGCGTTAACGAGGTTTTTTCAAAATAATTTTTGGAGGAACAAGTGGTTGTTAAATTTCACATATTATTCATCAATTAATTTGTTACTACGGTTTATAAACGATTTTTTATGAATTTATGTACTTGATGGCCTTGAGGAAGGCAAATGGGAATGGAAGGGTTAAATTGTCTTCAGGAACAGGAAATAAGTGGACGGTATAGACATTTCATTAGAATGTTATCTATTGATTTTGAATATCTAATGAATTTGATCGGTGCAAACATTTCCAAAAAATATAACATTTCCGGAAAGCCATTCCTGTGCAAGAAAGATCTGACACGTTACGATTTTTGGCAACTGGTGAATCCTATCAAAGTTTGCAGTACCTTTTTAAAATGTCAAAACGTGTTATTGGACAGATTGTTCCCGAAGTATGCCAAGCAATTGTGGCAGCATTAAAAGAAAATATACAAGTATGTATGCATGTTATATGAACATTTTGAATTATATTTTAACACTTTTTAAAGTTTTAAACATAATTTAAAAACAAATCAAATATAAATAACTTTTTCCTGTTTAATTTTTATAAGTATTAATAGTAAAAAGGTGGGCAAGTGGGTGTCGCTCTGCTGTACAGTAGGTTACAAGTGGGTCACTGTATAATGGATGGTATTATATTTGAATTCAATGATATAATATCATTGTATAAGAAAAACGATTCTGAGCGGTGACGGTATGTCAGTCTATGTATAAGACATATTATATACATATCTATGGCATTAGAAAAAAATTGACCTATAATAGGTACCTATAATAAATTCCCAATTAATCATATCACAATATCCATTAGATACTTATAACGCGTTATACATCAACAAAAACCGTGATACTATCATAGATATATAATAGTACACTTCAGAAGTTTCAAGCTAATTTAAACATTCAGTGAAATTTTCATGTATCTACAGTTGTTCGTTTTTGAATTGCAACAAAATAAGGAAATCGCTACATGAGTAATCGAATGAATATCCAATGTTGTAAAAATTTGAATTTCAAACGCTCATAAAAATTTAATTTGACCGTCCGGTAGAGATTTTTTTATTGATAAAGGTAGATAATCTTATAAGGAATTTTGTGTTTCATTTTCAAATCTTAGATTTAAAAAGAAAAATTTTTACGAATTCTTAACTCAAAATAATTTGCTAATTTTCGTGATTTTTCCATATTTTGTCAATTTTCGAACTTTAAATGCTTATAAAAAAAAAAACTGTGACAAACGATTTTTAAAATTTTTCATCTGCCTTTGAAACAATATACTAGGAGCCTTCTATTAAATTTTCAAGCTTTTGCAACCAACAAATCAAATTTTATTGATATTTTTAGAAAAAAAACTAAAAAAAAATGGAAAATTAAAATGTCCCTAAACAGTTCAAAATAAATCAAAATATTTTGAAAATGTTATCGTGTATAGAAAATGCAAATATAAACAACCAGTGAAAATTGCATGTATATACGTTCATTTGTTTTAGAGTTACACCAATAACCAAAATCGATTTTTCGGAAAACCAATTTTGCGTAAAAATTCCCGTTTTTCCTTAATTTTTATGTTGTTTTTCCCGGCGCTTTTGAAAACTACTGGGAAATTTATACTTTTGACCCCCAAAGTACCAACTAGATTCACTTTCCTATCAGAAAAGCTACTGATGAAGAAAATCCAAGTACTTTTACTGTTCTAAAACGTGATGACAGACACAAAAAAAAATAAAAAATATAAAAACACACATCATTGTAAAACCAATACATTCATCGCTCCGCTCAGAATCTAAAATAAAAATACTATTGATAATACAAGTCCTTTGTTTGCTTATTAATAATAATAATTATAATGATAATGATAATAAAATAATAAAATATTGATAATTTGTACTTTTTATCTCTGTATACTAAGGCCGGTGACACACATGAGAAATTAGTTTCATGAAACAGGAAATTAATTTCATTACTTAAAATCGCGTGTATTTAAATGGAGCACCACACACTGGTGTTTCCGAAACGTTATCTCAAAAATATTTTGTAAACAAGTTTCATGAAACCAAACGTGTTTGGTTTCATATGTAATTGTTTCGTCATTTCACTATCAACTCTCTTGCAGTTCAGTAAATAGGTTCGTAAATAGGTATGTAAAAATATTATAATTTATAATTATATATATTGTGATTAAGGAACAAATCTACTTTACCAACACCCTCACGCAGGGGCGGAGTGGGAACCAAATCCAGGCCGGGAGTTAAAAATTTATCCAGGCCACCCACCAAAATTTTTTTTCTCTCTAAGCTCGAATTTGGTTTTTCTATTTACCTATTTGAAAACTACTTTTAGTATTATAAAAGTATTACGATTTTCACGATTTTCAAAATTATTTTTTTCAAAGGACTTGTTTTTTTATGCTTAAAACGATGGTGTAATTTTTTTTCCCTGGAAACTATTATTTTAGAAGTTATAGCCTTCCAAAGTTTTCGATTTGACGTTTATGCGCATGCGCGCAACACTACTATAATGCCACGCGGAGGACTATTTTTGTTATTTTTTTGTACTTACGTATTCTAACCTGTTTAAAACGATGGTACAATAATAATTTATCCCCCGACTTGCTGTGCAACACCTCCCCAAGTGGGTCACAGGGTTGAGAAAATATCATTTTTGTTTCACCGAGGCACCAATTTGAAAAAACATCGTACAGTGATGCGGTGCTAGCGTCACTCGTCGCTACGCTCCTCGGCGCCGTCGCACAGTGGTCTGAAACGTCATTTTACGCGGCCAAAAGTCTATATTTTAAATGTCAATTTTAATTTTTTTTGTAATGAAACTATTATCTGTATACACTATTGAATATTAATCCCGAGTTACAATTTCCTAAGTATAAATTCTAAAGAGCTGTAACATGTTTAGTAAACAATTTCTTTATTTCTATCAATATTTCATCGAATTTTATAGTTTTACTTGCATATTCTTTCATATCGAAGAATATATATTTTTTGATAAATAATATTTTTATATTAAATTGTAAGGTCCTTAGGCTAATATTAAAGACCGAAAATGGAATTTTTATTTTTTATTTTTTTTTATCATACAAAAAAAGTAAAAAAAAAAGATTTTTTAAATTTTTTAAATTTTGAAAGAGTGCCACTTAAATCTACGCATTTTTTTCGTTTCTAGAACAGATGGATGTCATAGAGAAAGTTCTTAGCTATTTGAAAACATATATTTGTTAGTGCGCCGGTAACCTATACCGGCGTAAAACATTTAGTATTATCAGAAAACGTATTATCGTAAGATTTGCATTACTTAACAATTTATTGAATTGAAATGCTTATCTGTATCCTGTTCGATAGACTAATGTCATCTAATTTATATTATTGTTGTATAAAAATATAAGTAGATAAGTTATGTACCTTCCTTTCTACCTGTATATTAGAAAAATTGTCTGCTATTATAGATACGATATTGCAATACTTGTACAATCGCATTCACAGTTTAGACGTTTTGTTATCACATGCGTTCAGTTTATTTCGTTATATGTACAACACTTGTACCTAATTCTTTGATTTAGTTCTGTTTAATTTTACAATAATTGTTTTGTGTTTTTCAATTATGGATGATTATTCAGAAAGTAAGTATAAATAAAGTTATTATTATTACTCAGGAATTTATTTCAAAGAAAAATATCTATTTAAATATTTTATTCAATTAATTTGATATTATTTTATTTATTTAATAATATATTCTATTTATATTCTATTTTTTTCAGCTAGTTCAGAAAAAGATTGTGGCAAGGTGTTTTTAATTCGAGATATAATTGAATTCATTCGAAAAAACCATTCTTTTCAATGCAAATCGGTTATATCTGTTAAATGTAGGAAAGAAATATTTGATTTCATACAACAAAAATGCGGTGGTTGTAAATGGGATAGTAATTATATTTCATTACTAAACAATGAAATTGTAAATTTTTCATTAGTATTATCAAGAAAGCTTTTGAAATGTAATAGGAAACTTGATAAATTTTATACCATTCATAATGCGTGGCTTAATACTAAATTTGAAATGCCTCATTTAAAACCTAAGTCTTTAATACCAAAAGCTGCTAATTTTGGTCGTACACCTAAAACATTTACCGAGTCATCTGAACGAACTAAACGTCGAAAAATGACTAATTCGATTGAGTCTTCGAATATGACTTCCCCAGAAATAATATACGCCTCAAATAGAAAAATGCAACAGAGTGGACAAAGAAGTGTCGTCCGACTTTTTAAAAATGCTACAATGTCACCTAATAGAATTTTTAAAATTAAAAATTCGATTAAAAAATCAAAATTAACTGAAATTATTCCATTTACTGCTGACGAAGCTTTGGCTTTTTTTGTTGAAAATGATTTAACGAAACAGCAATACATAAATATTAGGTTGTCTGCCAAAAACCGAAATGCTAATATTTATCCACCATATTCTTCAATTTTAAAAGAAAAAAAACTATGTTATCCAGACAATTGCGTTATATCGGAAACACGCTGTGAAATTAATTTACAAAATCTTCTTGACCACACATCATTACGAATATTTAAAATCCCTGTAGTTGATACTTATGATATAAATAATATGCATAGTTTTGAAATTTTTTACAAATGGGGTTGTGACGGTAGTAATGGCCAATCACCTTATAAGCAAATGTATGAAAATGATGTTTGCAGCATGGACAGCGATCTTTTTATGTTTTCTATTGTACCACTTGAGTTACGTTGTTTAAACGAAAAAAATGAAACATTTGTTCTATGGAAAAACAACCGTACATCATCTACGCGTTATTGCCGGCCAATAATGTTTGATTTTAAAAAAGAAACGGTAGCATCCACTTTACTTGAGGTAAACATTATTGAAGAACAAATTAAGCAATTCAATTTTTCAACTGTACTTGTACATGGTATAGAAATAGCAGTTGCACATAAATTAGTATTTACGATGGTTGATGGAAAGGTATATAATAATAATAATAAACAATATGTGTATAGGACATTATTTTTTTTAAATTAAGTTTATTTAGGTGTGCAATTCATTAACAAATACATCTAGTCAAAGATGTTATATTTGTGAAAGTACCCCTACCCAAATGAATAATATTGAAAACTTTACAAAATTTGAGGTAAAAGAAGAATCTCTAAAATTTGGACTATCTACGCTTCACGCGTGGATACGATTTTTTGAATGCTTATTACATATTTCTTATCGGTTGGAAATCAAAACATGGTCTGTAAGTATATAATATGAATAATAATCATTTTGGAAATACAGGTAAACCGTTTTTTACTTTTATATAATTTATTTAGGTCCGAAAACCAGAACATAAATTAAAAGTTTCCGAAACAAAAAAACAAATTCAAGAAAGATTTCGTAAAGAAATTGGTTTACTTGTTGATATAGTCGTCCAAGGTAAACATTTTTATTTTACATTTTAACTGCTTAAATTCTCTACTATAGAAGAATATAATATTAGAATAGGAAAATATTGTTTTTTTTTTTTAGGAAAAGGAAATACAAATGATGGTAACACTGCAAGACGGTTTTTTCAAAACCCAGAAAAAAGCTGTGAAATTACTGGGATAGATATAAATTTATTTAAACGGTTTGGAAATATTTTATCAGTGATTTCTAGTGAATATGAGGTAAACATAGAAGCATTTGAAACGTATGCATTAGATACAGCTAAACTTTTTATACATCTTTACCCATGGTATTATATGCCTGCCAGCATACACAAAATATTGGTACACGGTGCTGAAGTAATACGATATGCAATTCTTCCCATCGGTAATTAATCTTTTACCTACTTTAAATAAATTTTATAATCGTTCAATATCTTACATTATATATTTTTATTATTTTAGGTCAACTTTCCGAAGAAGCACAAGAGTCGAGGAATAAGGACTATAAACGAATTAGAGAACACCACACGCGTAAAAGTTCTAGAAAAAATACTAATGAAGATCTTTTCCATATGCTACTTGTTTCATCTGATCCATATATTTCATCAATTAGACAACTTTGGAAGGCTATAACTTCTAAAATAATAGTTTCCGGGAAAAAAAAATTACACCATCGTTTTAAGCATAAAAAAACAAGTCTTTTGAAAAAAAAAATTTTGAAAATCGTGAGGGGGTTGGTAAAGTAGATTTTAGCCTAAGTATATTACATAGGATCGGAAAAAGTATAAATATCAATAGGTAATAAAAATTGTTTTGGTCAAATATTCTAAACGCTTTAAAGAAATAAATAATTTATGGGGGGACGAGGTGGCCGAGCGGTCAACGCGTCGGCTACGGCGCTGCCGGTTCGGGTTCGATCCTCGACCACTGGGCGGCATTTTTCTCCGGACAAGTCACGGTGTCCGGAGAACAAGTGCCGCCATCCCCCACTCCGGGGCATGGCAGAAACCTACGGGTGCCCCAATAGAAATTCTGCCAAACATTCACGTGTCCCAACCCTACTGTACCAACTGTTCCAACCCTACTGTACCAACCTTACCAACCGTCAGGCTAATGACCTCAGTTGTCGAAGCCTTAAAAAATAATAAAAAAAAAAAAAAAAAAAATTATGATTTAAATTTAGGTATAATCATAATTATATTATTATAATACTAAAAAAAAAACTTTTAAAATAATTATTTAATATTCATCATTGCTAAACGGTAATTGTACGTTCAGAGCTGGACATCGTGTGGTAACTGATAATATTATATTGTCTTTATGATGTGTTTTAAATTTAACTTTTCTAACTTAATCTATTTTTAAACTCCGATACGGAAAATTAAAATTAAAATCTGTAAATAATATTAAAGGCAATGAAATGCAGTATGTATGTGTGCTTTTATCTATTTAGTATTTATGCTTTAATATTATTTTTATTATTATATTTATTTTTTATTATTATTTTGATTATTTGTCATCGTCCATGTGTTTTCACCATTGAACCCATGCGAATCTAATGTAAATATTAACTGTTATTCGCATACATTTGCTAAAATATTTCCTAATATTTTAAATCGATATTCTTTAAAATGTCAAAGGCAAACTATAATTTTAACATGAAACTTGCTGAAGTTGTTGAATAGTATCCAATGTTGTATAATTTTAATTTACCTGCATACAGTATACGAGATGCTATAAGTAAAGCATTGGAAAATGTTGGAAAGAAAATGAATACAACTGGTTAGTATTTATTAGTTATTATTTTAATTCTAACAAAATTGTATTATACTTTTTTTTATATTAAGTAACCGTGTAATTATTTTGCATTTGGTTTAACAATGTAATGTAAAAGATAGTCTCTTAATCCTTTAGCAGTATTGATATTTCTTGGTATATCTTCATTATCTGTCAGATTCAGCTCAGTTGTTACTTAATCTGTAATTAAATATACGTCTTTTGTTCGTTAAATTTCTCTGTGGAAAAGTGGAAAAGGTCTCATAAGATATAATTTTAAAGGGAATGCTTCATCTCCGCAAAAAAAATATGGTATTTTTACTTTATTATCATCAAACGAAAGAGATTCTGGTTCTGGCATACCTAATTCTCCTCTTTGTAACCAAAGACCTAGTCTTTATGATAGAAAAACTCCTCTGTCACTATTTCGACCTAAAGCTCCAACATCTATGAAGGTAAAACAGCCATCAGCATCTGCGCAAGCCAGCAGTTGGACAGAAAAAAAAACCTTTTATAGTTTATATTTCTTGAACCTGTGTTAGCAAACTTCTGGACTCAAAAATGTTTGCCATCTATAGATCCAACGCAATGTGGAAAATTCCACAGTGAGTTATAACGAACAGCTATAGTCCTCCAGGTGTCTTCTGTAGGAACAGCCATAAAAATCGGTTGAAGAATTGTCCATATTGCGTTACACGTTTCAAATATTATTAATCCAATAGTTGATGCACCTCTCATAAAATTAAACGCAAGCTGTTTGAAGTTTACACCAGTAGCTAAAAATCTGAAAAACATAAATACATTAATCTAGATTATTAACAAGGTGATCTTTTAATCATACTCATCTAATTGCCAATAGGTACATAGGTATCTTAAAAAAAAACCATCGATTCAACCCCCATCCATAAAAAATGGTAATGACTATAATTATGATTAATGAAATCTTGTAGTGTATTTATTTTTTTTTTTTTTAAATGTTGACGTTAAAATAATCAATTTTGGTTCATGTGTTTATTAATTACAGCCCTCTAAAGTTCAGTAAATTGATTAATAGATTTAGTTAAAATAAATTTAATTAACTAGAGCTAAATAATTTTTTTTAACTACCATTTAATGCAATTTCATGTATGTTTATAATTTAAATTTGTTATCTAATAAATTCAATTTACTAAAAAATTTAATCAATTTACTGAACTTAAGATCGGCGTAATTAATAAGTACTATAGCAATGCATTAAAAAAATATAGTTGTCTCATTTTGACATTATAATTCCCCCTTTAATAATTTAATTTCTCGTAGCTCAAGAATGCAAAGAAGCATGGAGATTATTACGCATAACATATGCAAGATCAATACAATTGCCTGCTAGTATATCTGCAGCGAAAAAGTTAACTCAAAAAAATCAAAATATAATAAAAGAAATGGACTTTATAAGATCGTATGTTAATGCAAAAAATAATCATGACCTACCGAGCAATTTACCACCTCTGCCATCTCCGGAGCAGCCAAATGTTGATGAAGAGGACATCATGCAATCAGAACAGAATTTAGAAGTAGTTGGTGATGGTACCTATAGATGAAGATAATGATTTAATTATCCCACAGCCTAGAACTGATTCGTTAGAAAAAAAGAAGAAAATCACTTCTAGTACTGATGATATTGACAATTGTGTTATAGAATACATTAAAAAAAGAACAACCTAAAGCTGAAGAAAATCCTTAAAAGTTATTTCTTTTGAGTCTACTACCTGATTTAGAGTTAATGAACGATCGTCAAATGAGGCGTTTTAGGACAAAAGTGAGTGAAATAATAGAGGAAGCTCTACATATTTCATCTACTCCTTCTTATTTACAAAGCCAAAACAGATTAACATTAACATCGACTTCGACAAGTCCAACAGAGCAAATACCCATAGTTAATTGGTATACTGAAGATAGCCGTATGCGTGCAATGAGTGGCAAACGATTGCAAACAATCACTCCAACATTAACAATATTAAACCAATGTAATGGATTTTAATTTTTTTTAAGGTTTTTCAGAAAAATGTATTTCTATTTCTTTTTTTTTAGTAACTATTACATGTAGTTACTTGTTACTTATTTAAGTATATAAAATATACATAGGTATTATACATAAAATATACCTACAGTTATATATCGTCGCTGATACTGTAACAACACCTATCTCAGTTTTCATGTTGCAGTAGAGTCATAAAACGTGTTTTAAATGATTATTCTTGACAAAATGTAATATATTGAGGGTTTGTTTAAACCTTTTGTATTCAAAATTATTTTTTTTAAACAAATAATTCAAATTGTATGTAAATATAAAGTTTTACATGAGATACGTGTAGTTACGGGATAATCATATTGAGATACGCTGCTTAATAATATAATATTAACATTATTATTTTTTATTTATCAACTGTCATTAATAGACATGGTTAGATGATATTTTAAATTATTACCTGAATGTATTTTCTCTCCTTACTACACATTATTAATTATAAAGAATGATTTGAATAATATAAGCATAAAAAAAAGAATATAACAACACATTTTGAGGAACTCAGATACTTTTATTTTTAGAAACTAAAAAATAATTAACACAACTTGTAGTCTATTCCATAAATAATAATAAAAATCAACATACTTTGTTGTTATGTATGACAATTTAACATGTATCATAAAAATTATAAAATAATTAACATAACTTGTAGTCTTTTTCCATAAATTATAATAAAAAACAACATACTTTGTTGTTATGTATAACAATTTAACATGTGTCATAAAAATTATAAAATAATTAACATAGCTAGTAGTCTTTTTCCATAAATTATAATAAAAAACAACATACTTTGTTGTTATGTATAACAATAAGAAAATAACATAAATAATAAAACATTTAAAATAAACTAATCAAAACAGCCACCAGTTACTAATCAGTCTTCAGTTATCAATCAGTCTTTCTTGGTTTGTGGTTTTTAGTTTTCGTACACATTCATCCATATGAGGTAAGGCATCATAAAAACCATGGCAGTCAAAAGGGATTATAGATTACAAACTCTGCAAGTAATTCCATTTATCTAGTGAAATTTTTTTTTGTGACTGATATAGTTTAGGAAATGAACATATATTTTGCATATCAATTTTATTTGGCCTACTAGGTATCTCTTTAAAATCGTCATTGTAGTTAATTTTGTGTAAAATGATTCCTTTGGGACAGTATTTGAGAACCCTTATGTCCGTTACGACTGGACCAAAAGATTTTTTTCCTGGTCTTATTGTATCGTAAATCATTAAGTTTTTGATACTATAATCAAAAAAAAAAAAAAAGGTTATGTGCACGCTTTCGCACTCCATTTGAGTATGGCCCTTTTCTAGGTACTTTTGAGTTACATCAATTTTATACTTAATGCTGAGATGCAATAAAGCATTAGATAGCACACTATTTCGGTTTTGAGCCTTGCAGCCATCTATATATTATTACCGGTTTTAATGATGTATTCAATGTTTTCTCGATTGTATCCACTAGACACGATGCAAATGTTGATGCCACAAGATCACATTGGCTTTCATCAAACCAATAACAAATTGCTTCGTGAGTACTCAAATTATATAGGGTATAATTGTGAGCAGCCAATTTCATTTTATAATATAACGCACTGGCTTGACAATAAGGTAGTAGTTGTACAGCCATTAGATCACAAGTGAATGTATGACATTCACCAGACTCTGCACATATTTTATCTCTGTTTTTTTCCTTCCTGGCTTGATTTTTTCACTCAATATGTTTTTGATATTCTTCATTAGATACGTTATTAACTTTATATTCACAGCATTTGTCACATTGATCTTTCTTTGGCATAAATATTGAGAGATTTTGATCATTGTAAACACCAACAAACTTCTTTCTACTTAGTGGTTATTTATTATCATTTGTACATGCAACACAGTAAATACTGTAAAGATGAGATATTGAAGTAATGTCTGTTTGCAAGTACAGATTTCTAGTAAACTTCCTACAATAATGTGGTGGGACTTTAGGAAGTTTGTTAAAAAAATTTACTAAGTATTCGTTCTTATGTTTTTTTGCTCGTCTTGAATTTCCTTTCTTGTGCCCAATTGATACATCATTTTCTGATTCCATTTCAGATTCAATTTCTTCATCAACTATTCTTAAATCTTCTCTGATATTTCTTGGTAACTATTTTGTAGACAGTGAGTTTTTTTCTAACCAATACCTGATAGTTGATTCTTTTAGTCCAGATGTATTTAAAAACATATTACGGCATACACAAAATTTATTATTGCTAACTTTTAAGTACTAAAAATATGTACCATTTCTGCGAGAAGTTGAACTTTGAGTAGTTCTTTGCTTAGGTGCTACTGATTCAATTAAAGATACAATATAAATTTGTTTTTCTTTCCAATGTACCCAGGGCCGTCCTTACAATTTGCGGGGCCCGGGGCAAAACTATTTTAGCGGGGCCCCCAAAAAAAAATTCATTCATTCAACCGAAAGGCAATTATTACACTTCCATAACCTCTCCCATTTTAAAACCAAGGGTGCCAGCAGAGGGTTGCTGGTGGGGGTCATGGCCCCCTCCTATTTTATTTAAATATTTAATGATAATAGTTATATAACTTGAAAAAAAATATAGTATGACGGTATGTGCTGTATTATCAGACTTTTTAAATTGGTCCCACACTCTCGTTTACATTTCTGCGGGCACCCTTATTCAATATGTAAAGTATTTTTACCTATTAACTTTACCAGTACCTCACATAACCATTTTTCACCAATGCATCATACACATGTATATATTATTATCTATGATTAAACTGCTGTATATTTGTTTAATTGATTAATAAAATTATTTATTATAGGTAACAACAGAAATAACAATAATAATTAAAAATTAACTTTTCTTGATTTGAGATCAGCAAATGTGTCGATAACATCATCCAAGTCCAATCCGTCTACTATTTCATGTTCTATAGATATTATTGCTAAATTTGTAGTTTTCTCTTGACTTAGTGTTGTTCTAAGGTAATTTTTTACCAACTTTAATTTTGAAAATGATCTCTCAGCTGTTGCTGTTGTAACTGGTAATGTGAGCATAATCCTTAATGCTATAGCAACATTAGGATATACATCACCAACACTGTTGCAAAGGATTTTTTGTAAAACTCTTAAAGGAGAGGTACCTTTATCAATTATTTCTGAAAGAAGGCAAAGCTCATCATACAATTCCGCTCCACTAATGTCCATGTTTTCCCCTATTTGTAACATAATCTGTAAATCATGGCAACTTTTTAACAATATATCTGAATCAGCAGTCGATAGATTACCAATATCAAACAGAAATCCAAAATAATTGTTAAAATGATCTAATTGGGTGAATCTTTGATTTATAGATACAATTCCTTGATCTAAAATTGGTAAAAAAAAATCATTCACAAAACATTCTTCTTCATTTGTTGAGCATAATATAGGAGAGCTTTCATAACTAAACATTCGTTTCTTTAAACTTTTTCTTTTAGATTTAAACTCTGGTTTTATATCAATATGTTTGCAAATATAAATAGCTTCTTCTTTTGCTTCATTAAATCCATTTTCACGATACTTATTTAAAAACTGTTTCAGGCCTTTCAAATTGTTGACAGCAAAATCAATTGAAATTTTTTCATTTTGCAGAGTTTTGCTTACTTTATTAATATTATTTAATAAATTATACCATATTACTGAACTTAGTACAAACTCATAAGACATTTCATGTTCAGCAAGAGAAATAGCTTCACTTTTAATTGCTGGTATTTTTGTAGATTCACTTACTTCTATCAAAGCATTATATATTTCTTTGAGTTGCATTTTCACTGCCTTTACAGATTCTAATCGGCACTCCCATCGAGTCTCATCCAACGGTTTCAAAGTTAAACATTTTAAATGTTTGATTAAAATCTCCCAACGCTCTGTAGAAGCAGAAAATAAAGTGTACAATCTTTGTATCACTCCAAAAAAGGTCATAGCTCGTGGTATGCAATTTGCCATATCTCCTAAAATAATAATATTCATATAATTATTAATGACATGTTGTTTACATCAAAAATAATAAAGTACAACTAAAAACTTACCTAATAGGAGGTTTAATGAATGAGCACAACATGGCAAGAACAAAGCTCTAGGATTATCATTTAAAATTCTAGCCTGTACACCTTGTTTATGTCCAACCATATTTGCACCATTGTCATAGCCTTGGCCACGACAATTTGATAAACATATACCTAAATTTGATGACTCTTGCTTTAAAACATCAAATAATCCTAATCCTGTTTTAAGAGTTATATGTAAAAAGTTTATAAAATATTCATCCACCGAAACCACAACATTATTAGTAGTTTTAGTTATCTGTACAATTCTGATTATTAACGTTAACTGTTCCTTGTGAGATGCATCAGGAGTTGCATCAAGCATAATAGTGTAATATTTTGCTTCTTTAATACGTCTTACAATTTCTGTTCTTATTTTATTCCCAATCAAGTGTATTAATTCCGTTTGTATCATGGGTCCCAAATAATGTTGATGGATTTCTTTATTCTTTATTTTTCTCAAGTGTTCAGCCATAGGGTTATCAAAACTTGCTATCATTTCAATAAGTTTAAGAAATTTACCATTTTGTTCTGTATAAATGGTACAATTTTGTCCCCTGAATGCGTCATTTTGTTGAGCAAGATAAATAATACAAGCTATTATTCTTTTCAGTACTGTTCTCCAACGGCCTTTTTCAGTTTGAATTTCTTTTTGAAGCTCACTATCTAAAGTTGTACTGCTATCTATACGCCATGATAATTCTAACCATTCTTGATTAGACTTTTTATGATAAATTGAAGAATCGTGGCTTTTTATTCGTTCGGATAAATGTTTCCAGTCATTGAAGCCATCAGTAAAACTAGTTTTGTTCTTAGGATTTGGGAACAATCGACACGAAAAACAAAATACAGCATTCATTTTTGTTGAATATATAAGCCATGGCCTTACTACCTTTTCACCATTTGACATGGTCTTGTAATAATATTTTTCAGAGAATGATCTTTGTTCATCATTCATTGGAAATTTAAAATTTTTGATTTGAATTGCCCCCTTTTTTATAATACACAAACGATACTTCCTATCTTTAACTGATGGCCAAGTTGCTGGATCTTCCAAGTCAAATGAATAATTACTGGTGTCTTGTGCTTGTACCTAATGCAATATTTACACAAAAAGTGAATAAAAATTAACAAGTTATAAAATTTTAAATTATGAAAACAATTAATTTTGTATATTATTTTATTAAACTAACTAATTCCTCTTTTTATAAATATTGTTTAAATTTGCATTCATTTTGGTAATTAGAGAATGAAAATATGACACAAATTGTGTGAATAATGAGAAAAAATTATGTTCAATATATTAAAATAGATACCTATAGATAACCTGAAACCTGTTAATATATTGTGTTTATTACATTTAAGATAACTTGATAAAATGCAGTTTCAAATTAATGAGAATTGATGAAGATGATAATTATAATTTGGGTTCTACTCACATTTATATTTATGTCATCAATTTTCCACAAAGTATCATAATGTTCATTTTGTACTTCTTCATGATCATCTGACTTTTCATTAGTAGATGTAACATTGCTAGAACTAGAACTGTTTATACATTTCTTCATAGATACTTCTGCATGGTCATCGCAAGGAAATGATTCAGGCACATGTAAATTATCAGAAAATTCTTGTATCTAAATAAAGAATTAATACAAATTTTAAATGACTCAAATTCTTATTTGTATTCTACTTACATTTATATTTGTGTTATTAGTTTTACATAAAATATCATTATGTTCATTTTGTACTTCTGCATGATCATCTGGCCTTTCATTAGTAGATGTAAGTGTAACATTGCTAGAACTAGAACTGTTTATACATTTCTTCATAGATACTTCTGCATGGTCATCGCAAGGAAATGATTCAGGCCATGTACCAGCTCTTTCCAGAAATGATTAAATATTTTTAAACAATCATCACATTTTATTTCAGAACAATATCTTGTCTTCCATTGTTACATATTTTTAATTGACATGGTGGGCACATTTGTCGTTCTTCTCTTGGTGTGTCATGCAATATTTTTAAGGTGCTTTGTTTTTCATTCCTTCTATATCCTAAATAGGCCTCTCCACGCATTTTTTTACATTCTGCATCATTTCTAGTCCAGGTGTCTGTATTCCCTCTTTTACTACGTTTTCTTCCAAAGTTTTGGGAAATGGTATCAATTTCTTCAAAACTTACATTTATAATATCCTTATTATTGTAGTAACCAAATTGGTTACTACGAGTAACTTAAACTCAAGTAGATATTGTATATAATAGTTTTATTTACACAGTATTTAAACACAGATTTTTAATATGAGTAATAAGACTTTTTAACTAAGTATAATTATGTAAAAGAGTTATAAGAGTGCTACAGTTAATCCTTGTTGGTGTGATGTGCTGATGTGCAAAATTAGCATTATGGAGTTATTTATATAATAACAATATGTTAATTTCAATGGTCAGCATCACGTGAGAGACTCATAGTTGAGCTGATCATTACATTATTTTGTATATTATAATGCTCTAAAGAAGACTTATTGATGTCATCATCCGGTATAATATTATCTATAAGATTTATTACACTTTCTGCTTCATTTTCACAATTAGAAATTATTTTCATATTATCATTATTTAACAGAGCTTCATTGAATTCAATTGTTTCAATCTTATCAATATTAATTTCTGAATTACAGTCATTGAGCATATAACAGTCTAATTTATTTGTTTCATTTAAATTTAAGTGAGCTGTGTTACAGATTTTTTTAATTGTATTTTGCCTAATTAGTGATTTTGAATTATTTTCTACAGCTTTAAATAATTCATCGACTGAATATGAGTAGCAACTATCATCAGTATTGTAACGTGCCCACCACTTCAACTCAGTTTTGATTGTATTTTGAATAAAATGACAAGTTGATGGTATAATGATAGTTTATTTGTAATTATTTAACACGTAAAATAGTCTAAGACCAAATAATTAATTTATAATAATGTGGTAAACGAGATGTGACTTAGTATCGACTTGGTGGCTGCTCTGCTGGTGCTCGTCTTCTCGGCTGGTGTTCGTCTGATGGACACTTGTCCATCGACGTATTTCGTCGGTATTCCTAATAGATCCCTCCTATGGCATTTTTAGTATAAAAATGGTACACACGCCGTATCCGCCTGAGGTCATTTCTGACGTATTTTATGAAAAATGTTAATTACGGATTATATGTTTCCAAAGTTATCTATTTGTACTGTTTACGGCTTTTTCGTCTTTCCTAGAATATGGGTATTGCGCGCGTACCATTAATTAGTTCTTATCGATGTGGCCGTTCGGATGCTCATATTATTACTATTATCGGGGTTACGCGCTCCTTGCAGCATTTATATCTATTATTGAATATAATATATATATTATAATCGTATTATACTTAATACAATATTATAATAAAATATATTATTTTATATATTATTACTATTATTAATATATACCTAGTCACAGCCCGTTACAGTATCACTATCACCTGTATATAATTCCATTACGATAATAAAATATATTAGGAGCAGAATCACCTTGTTTTACCTAAAAACACATGATAATTATATAAGTAATTAGTATTGACAATAAGTAAATTTAAAAGATTAAAATACAACATTATTAATTTACATTTTGCAATGTAAAACAATCTAACTTTGAATTCAATAGAAATATAATATAAACAGAAGAAAATATAATACCACCTATCTCAATATAATGATTTTATTAACACTGCCTATCTCAAGTGAAAAAAAAATAGTATTTTAAAGTGTCATACTACTTAACATATTATGTATATTATATATGTTTATAGCAAAAGTTCGTTCTGTATTATTATAATATAACATAACATATAATAAAACTTACTTTTTAAAGATTCCTGGTAGCAACAACGATTTTCAATGTGATTTTAATGAGATACGTTGTGTTATGACCAATATTTGATATCCTCTGTGTTATCATTTTTGTTATTTACAGTGGAACCAGTTGTCTGAGCAAAAAAAGGCTCAAATAAAATATTTCCGTACGGTGTTTATCGACCAATATCAACAAAAACCTAATTTTGTCAAATTTTGAGATAGGTGTTGTTGCAGTATCAGCGACGATATGTCATATTGAAAAGGTTAATTTAAAGTTTTTTGTTTTAATTTTTTTTGTTCATTTTCATTTTTTCCATATATAATTTTTGTTTGAATAAAATATTATTATATAATTACCTTAATGTTATCACTAATCGTTCTTCTACTCAAATTGGTTCTCTCCAGTGTGTTTCTTGTTTTTTAATTGATGACCCAACCAAGTTCACTATTTGTTGAAAATTTGTGGGATTCATTCTATAGAATGATTTAAATTTGTCCTTATGTTGATTTACTTCGTTTGCAACAATAGTAGCACTATGTTTTAAATTAATTTTTTTCGAAGGCTGCACTCAGTATCGTCTTTTTTTTTTAAACCATTTTCTTCTTTCGATTTAACCACCACAGAACAATAATCTCATCATCGGACGAGATCTTTAGACCAACTAAAATTACTTGGGTGAACTAAATGGTTGGTAGGTAAAAAAAATATTTATGAAACAAATTTATTCTGTGTGTATTGACCATGAAATATGTTTCGTGTGATTAATTATAAGATACAAATTTTAGGAAACACATTTCTCAAGTGTGTCACCGGCCTAATTGTAACTTAGATCATAGACATTCTGAGTATAGGAAGAGTTAGTATTGTAAGTAGGAGGCGAAGGGCTAGGATTGTTTGTAGAAAGCAAAGGACTAGGAATATAAATAGAAGGTATAGGGCTACCATTATGTGTGGAACACAAAGGACTAGGAATGTAGATAGAAGGTATAGGGCTAGGATTATTTGTAGAAGACGAAGGACTAGGAATGTAGCTAGAAGGTATAGGGCTAGGATCGTATGTAAAAGGTGAAGAGTTAGAATTATTGTAGTTAGAAAGTGATGTGTTGGGATTGTGTGAAAATAATTGTGGCATATGAAGATGTTGGATTTGATTATTAGTTGGATAGTTATATTCATAGAACCCCTGGCAAGCTTTAAAAATCATGTTTCCAAAATCATGTTGAACAGCATTTCTTGTTTGTGGAGAAAAACTTTGTAGCTTTGTTTCAATATATTTTTCATACGCACTGCATTCATTTTGCCGCAACAGTTAAAATTGAAAATGATCAAGCATAATATCATCATCTGTTTTTTTTTCTTGGATGAGTTGATGGAGTATTGAAAATAATGGAATCGTTTTGACTTTCAGTAGACTGTAATACATCATCTTCGTGTTCATTAGATTGATATTCAATGTCAGCTTGTTCTTCGACGACCTTAAATACACAAAAAATTAATTGATTTTATAAAGATACCAACATAAATTTTTCCAAATTACATCAATATTAATAATATTAATTATTTTTTTTTTAAAAAAAGGTGTGCCAGTGGGTGTCGCTCTGCTGTACAGTAGGTTACAAGCGAGTCACTAAAATTTGAACATCAAAAGCTCATAAAAATTTAGTTAGACTTTCCGGAAGAGATTATTTTTTTATAAAATTAGTGAAACCCATGAGGAATCTTGTACTACATTTTCAAATCTAAGATTTATAAAGAAAAATTTTTATGAATTTTTTAATACAACATAATTTGCCCATTTTCATGATTTTTTACGTATTTTGTCAATATTTAAACTTTAAACGCCACTAATATAATTAGGGTTAGGAAAATGATGCATTGAAAACCTACACAGTTAGAAATCTGTCGTTGATTCAACACTCATTGGTGTCAATGTCATACACAGTTGTGTGTTGATTTTGAGCTGGGAGGAGCTTGGTGTTAAATTCACATTAAGCGATAGTTAAAATAACTACTACTCGTTGCTATAGTAAGACTCATGCCTCGTAGTGATTAGTGGTTAATACAACATCAGTTGATATTAAGACAACTACAAACTTTGTATATCTTAACAAATACAATTATGTAGATATGATATTTACTATATTTAGTACAACATTACAGCAGTTTTAAATTAACTTTTATTTGAGGGTAGGTTGAATATTGGTTATTGTTATCTCAACTTAAGTTGCTGATATTTTGTAAAAGTTTGTAAAGATGTTGAATTAACTAATGGTATTCTTAAAACTACTTAATGTAATGTTAAAAAATGTTAGACAAGCAAAAAAAAATATTTCGGAGCGTGCCAAATTCCATCTGCCCTAGCCGGGATTCGATCTCACTACCTACGGGATATTATGAACGACCTACCTACCGCCTTAACCTCTAGACTATCACCTACATTGATATAGTCAACACATTTTAAGGGGGTATATAAATGTCGCATAATATATAGAAAAATATATCTTAATTTGATTTTTATGGAATAAAATGCAAAGTTCTTGACTTTATTTACATACTTTATATATTTTAAAATAATAATATTGTATACAATTAATGTTTTCATACATTACCTACTTTGCCAATAGTAATATATTTGATTTCACATGTTTTAAAATACATGGTAGGTACCTACCTACATTTATTTACTTAAAATATACAAACATAATATTATAGGGTAGGTAATAAGTATACAACTATTGTAGAATAACCAAAAAAAAAAAAAAAAATAAGAATATTAAATATACTATTATTTAAAAGCTTTTTATGCACCTGACCTCAATGAGGCATAAAGTTTACCATTGCCTAGAACTCTGGCAATAGTTGGCGTTGTATCAGGTAATTCATGCATATAACACCCAATCAGTTTTGAGTTTGAATTATTTTTTATTTCATAGGCACAAAAATGTTCATCAAAACCAACAGTCAACATTGGCTTTATTATAAAATAAGGAACTCTGGTTTCATTGACCAACATTTTATAGATTTCCCCAAATAAACAGCCTCCAGCAGCAGAATTTATTTCTAAAACTAATAGCATATCTTTTTTATACATCAAACCTTTATATTCCAACCAAACTGGAGAGAATGAATTACATTTGAATTCTGGTGGTAGATTGAAAATTATATTTGATGGAAACTCAATAAAAGGGGATACTACATGGGAACCAGATGAATAATTTAAGTCTGGTTTTAAACCTGAATTAGATAAAAAGCGACTGATCATTTGCAATTGTATTTTATTAGATAGTGTATGACCTAAATTAATTCGATTAGATACAGCATTTGCAATTGCTTTTACTGTTTTATGTTTTGCTTCAAATCTAATGGAAGAAGTTAAAATAAGCGGTCCATTTTTAAGAAGCAGTTGGCCATAATGTACCAGAAAATGATATTTGGGTTTAAGGGTGCCTTTAGATATTGACAAATATAATTGATTATGTTCAGCTACTAATGCTTGTAACTGAACTGAACACTCTGGTTGTATTTGTCGAGCACTACACATATCTACTATTTTACGTAGTAAAATATATAAACGCCAGACTTCAGTCTTTTTAGGCACTAACTCACCAATAATAAGACCAAAGTACCTCACTAAACACAGCATTTCTGAAGAAGACATAATTATACATCCGTTGATTATGTGAGTAGAACTTATTTCCGGTGGAGAATTTTTATTTTCAGTTACACCATAATTAAAAAATTCTATTCGACTATTCATAATCTCAAGAGTTATATATTTTAAATCAATTAGATTTTTTATGATGAAAGCCATATCATAACGAGCGACCCCTTCTGTGATATCATGCATAAAATCACTAACTGAATTTCTTGTTACATGGAAGCTGGGAACGTTGTTAAATATACAATATTCATTTAAACCAGTTTGTGAACTATCAGCTAAATTAATATCTGTATCATAATTTATTTCATTTCTAAGAGTCTCAGAGGATTCATAAATCATTTTTTGCATATCCGATTTTGGGGAACGGCAAATTCGGCAGTAGTGATTGGCTGAAAAACTCTCAACAAATCCAAGAATTGAATTTAGTCCTAAATTATCACCTAGGACTAATCCAAGAGCAAAATAAATTTGATAGGTTTTAAAATTTACAGTTATAGAAATGCCATTTGTTTCTAAATCTATCAACTCTTTAATAAGCGCCTTATACATATCATAATTATTTATTTTAAAAGTTCCTCGATCTTGGGAATGAAATAAATAACCAACAAAAATATTATCCAACGATGAAAGATATTCTGGTGGTAGAGAGGGGACTGTATAATATACACATCCCATCTTATGAATTCCAGAGTGGGAACCAAGTGGATTACCCATTTCTGCATCATCGTAGTATAAAAAAATGGGAAACACAATTTTATCCGAAAATGAACATTTAATTTTTTTCCATGTGGAACCATTTAAAAATGAAGTTAATATACCTGTACTGCTTAAAGAATCATTGGTGAATTTTAGGGCAGTTTCGTATATATCTGGCAGTTCAAAAAATGATTTTAAATTACTTTTAAAAGATAATAAATGACCTTGAACAGGTACCATTAATAAACGATCAATTCCTTCAACTTTTTTTTTTTGTTTCATATAACCAACTACTACTGTTGTGGGTTTAAAAAATAAATTATGATTTTCAAAATATTTTATTCGCAAATGTTTGGTTTTGAACTCCAAAAAAGGATTTTCGAGAACATTAAACATTTCCTCTATTTCAGTTTTTTTAGAAGTATCATAGTTAGTTAAAACAGAAAAAACTTTTTTTTTTAAATGAGTTATAATTTCATTGGAAAATAATTCATTAACTCCTTCAACTATTTCTTGAAGTAATGTCTCAGTTACATTTGGCTTTGAATATAACTTGGCAATAAAACTTGAAACATTATTTGTAACAATATCTTTAAACGTGCAATTAATTATATTTTTTCCAAAACTATTTTCATTTGTAATATTTGGATCAAAAGCCGTACTACCTGAATCATTTTCTAAAGGTCCATCAATTTCTACGTTCAGTTGTGTAATTGAATTACTTTTATTTGCATGTGTTCTATTTAAATGTTGCCTAAATTTATGTAAGCCGAGAAAATCTCTAAAACAATTATCCTGTTTGCATGTATAAAGTGATTGAGAATCTAAGTTGTGATAAACCTTTAGATGCCATATATACTGGTTTGTAGAAGTAAATTTATTTTCAGTACATAAAAAACAATTAAACATGATTGAAATTTTAGTTATATAATTATCTGATGAAATAAAAGTTAGACATAAGTAGCAAACTATTGCATTATTTTAAATTAAGATTGTAGTTTAAGTTTTATACTTTAGAGTTTAGGTTATAATATTATGTTTTAAGTTATACATTTGAAAATTTATTTAGTATAGTGTTAATAATTGCTGTTGGTTTGTCAAACGGTGTTTTGATCTTATGAACTAGAAGTTGTATTATCATCCATGTCTCATAGCATTCTTTTGAATACGCACAATTTAATGCAAAATATATTTTGAAGCAGGCGTCCAAAGCTTTGAGTGGGCATTCAAAAGCCCATAGTTGTTCATTCACTCTCACATAGCATGTATTTATTGAATATATATCATTGCCAACTAATATCAAATAAGGCTGTATGGTTGCTCCAAATTGAGAATACTTTTTGCGCCTTTTAAGAATTTCTTCATTAAGTTCAATAAGATTCTGTAAATGTTAACAATTTAGTTTTTTAATTTTTAATTTTTTTAAGCAAATTAAATAATACTAACCGTAACGTGACAAATGAAAGCAGCAGCTGATTCTTCCAAAGATGGTTTCCAAAATTTGGTTTTGTTAGAAGTATTAGCAGAGGAGTTTTTTATTTGTGTCTTCGTTGGAATCAAATATGGCAATAATAAAAGTTTGATAATTTCAGATATCATGAAATCTAAATTGAAATTCATGTTTATAAAATATAAAAATTAATAAAAATATAGGTACTCTTACTTCCATTTACATCTGAAGCATCTAATTGCATAAGAAGTGAACGAGCATGTTTATCTTTAATAGATCCTCTTCTCAAGGTAACCAATAATTTTGTAAAATCTGACCAAGTCTTAATAAAAACATTCCAGTCTTCAAATAATTGTATAGTATCAGGATAGCCTATTTTAAAATCTTCAGCAACCTTAAAAATATTTTTTAACAATTATATAATATATTATATTATTAATTTTAAGAATTATTATTTTCTTACCAATAAATACCCCTTTGGACTACAAATTAATGGCCATAACTCAAAAACAGAAGATAAATTACGTGAGCATGGTCCAAAAACATCCGCCTTGCGAATTTCATATGTAAGTATCCACTTATTTATTAAAATATCATCAAATGGGGCTGATAATCCATCATTTTTTAACCATAATTTTGTACATTCAACTTCTTCTATATAATTTAAAAATAAAACAAATTTACTAAATATTTAAATTTTTTTTTAAATACTACTATAATACCAGAAAAAGATTGATGTGATGATGTTGGGATATTTATATTTTCTTTTTTTCCTCTTTCGTAGTCAATGGCACCTAAACTTCTGAGTTTTCTAGCCACATTCTTCCATCTTTCTACAAGTTTTCCTTTACTATGGGTTTGGCTAGTTCCTTCATGCCTTGCAGGTATAAAGTATATACTCTTAAAGAAAAAAAAATATTATAATTTTATTATAGTTTATGTATACTATATTATTAAATTTAATAAATTTAAACCAAAATAAAATGAATCCACTCATTATTATATTATATTATGATATATTATATAAGTTTCCACCAATATTTTAATAGATAAAGGAATTTACAAAACACCTACCTACCGAAAAATATTACCTAGATATCCATAAAGACAAATTAACAGGCGCGTACACAAAAAAAGTTTGGGGGGGGGGTTTGCTTGTACATTTTCAAAAATTTTTAATTAACAAATAATAACTCATTTCCTGACATTTTGGGGGGGGGGGGTTGAACCCCTAGAACCCCCCCCCTTGTATACACGCCTGCAAATTAATAATAATAATCTATGACTAAATTATATAATATATTGTATAACATAGTATAAAATAATGTATATAATATATTATTAAGAAACGTACGACATACCTTTATTTCTTTTGGAAAAATTTCAACTATTAGATCTGCTATTTTATGGAAATAAATATCGCTTCCCCTACAGACATAAAAATAAATATATATACAGAAAATTGCTACCCAATTAGCATATTTATCAAATTAAAAGAGCAACATTTAAAAATGTAGTATAAATTGTAACTTATAAGTTTTGTTTGTATTTACAACAAAATATCAATTAAGTTTCATCTAATTATTTATCATATAAATCTTTAAAACTATTTAAATTGAAAAATTAATTGATTTAGATTTCAAAAATTACCTGTTCTGTTCTTGAAATAAATGATTGATAATCAGTTTTGTTAGTGAGTTTTGAGCTTCATCAGACAGGTTACCATTATTTAATCTAGCATCAGCAAATATACACCTACCATCATTTGTGGTATGTAATAGATCAAGCAGGGTCTAAAATAATTAGTGGTAGGTATTAAATTAAACCTTTATAATTTGAAATTTATTGTACAATTCAATAATTGTTAAGAACAAATAGAAATGTTAGGCAAATGTACGTAGGTACTATCTACCTACTTTTTAATATTATACTATGAGAAGACAGGTTAGTACTTATTATATAATAAGTATATACTATTAGATAGAGGTATAGGTATAGGTAAAATAACTTACTTCTGTCGACCATTCAATAGTCCTCCTTTCTTTAGTATGAGAATATGATGTAGAGCTCGGCAAGGCAATTGTAGATGTTGAAGGATTTGTCAATGTTGAATATGTTTTATTACTAAACTCATCTATTTCAGATGTGTTCGAGTCTGTTGGTACAAGTACAGCATTTAGTGTGCTCGAGAGACTAGGAACAAACTTTTTACAATAGTAAATAAATCAACAGTACCTAAGACATAATTTATTTATACATAACAATCTTTTATTGTAATCTATATTTGCAGACACATGACAAAATAAAAGTATTTTGTTTATACATTTATTAATTATTTTTTAATATATTTTGTCACGCGCAAAACACGCTTCAAAACCACGTTTCAAAACCAAATATTGTATAGGTGAATTTTAATAATATAATATCTTACCTGCATATAATTTTCCATTGCAATTTGTAAGTAATGGAAAATGTTAATTTGCAATAACAAATTAATGTGAAACTGGCATTAGAAATAGTTAAGTTTAACACGCGGACAAAATAAAATCAACGTAAACTGTAAACACACGAGTCACGACAATTTTGTAGTCACACAAGTACACAGCACAAGACGTAACAGCACTACAGCAGTACGCCAGTTGTACAACACAAAAGTAATATTATCATGTCTACCAATAAACTATAAATATCATAAATTAAAAATAATAATTTATAAACATTGATATCAGTAGAAATTAACCGATTAATCGTTGGTAAATCTATATTTATATTCAAAATAACATTTATACAGTCCGGCCCACGAAAGCCCATACTACTAGATTCCCACTATTCGGCAACATGCCGATGCGCAGCGACGGACGCGTTTTTACGTATGGACTCTCGACTCTCGTAGCCCGGAGTATACATGAGTGTATTTTACTATTTTTAATCGCACATATACTATAATGTAGAAATAAATAATGTATTTAATTCAACAATAAACTGATGTTATTTTAACTATAAAATAGTGGATAATGTAATATTCAACTATTCATTGTTAATTTAACTCCTATATTGATTGCTGAATTGAGTAAACGTATGGTGTTAAACCATGTGTATTTCATTCTACATACATTGTTGTTATTTTAACACTCCAAAGTATATAATTTACAATTTAGCTGATTGACAAATTCAGTAAAGTGTTAAAACAACTACAGATTTCTAACTGTGTACAGTAAAGGCATTAAAATGTTAACAATACTACTCCAAAAAAATGCATTTTAACATGAAAATGTTACTAAAAAATGACTTAAAAATGTAAAAGTTCAGCTGATAATAATTTTTTAAATCGAAAAAATATCGTATTAATGAATATATTTATACGTTTACATTGTAAAAATTAATTGTCAAAGATTCTAAACACAATTTAATATCTATGTAAAACAATAAATTAAAAAAGGTGGGCAAGTGGTTGTCGCTCTGCTGTACAGTAGGTTACAAGTGGGTCACTGTATAATGGATGATATTAAATTTGAATTCAACGATATAATATCATTGTATAAGAAAAACGATTCTGAGCGGAGACAGTATGTCAGTCTAGGTATAAGACATATTATATACATTATACATATCTATGGTACTAAACCAAAATTTGACTTATAATAGGTAGGTACCTATAATAAATTCCAAAATTAATCATATCAAAATATCCATTAGGTACTTATAACGCGTTATACATCAACAAAAACCGTGATACTATCATAGATATATAATAGTACACTTTAGAAGTTTCAAGTACCCACGAATAATATTATTCAATCACAACAAAATAACTAAAATAGTTTTTCTAGGTTTTTTAATATGTAATTTCGTCCAAATTTGAATAAATGTCTGTAAAAAAAAACTGTGTTCATATATTTTTTAGATTTTTTGGTTACAGTATGAACTATTTACGAGAACCTTTGTGTTGAATTTGCAATCCTTAGCTAGAAAAACTGAACATTTTATAATTTATTAATTACAATGATTGATAATTTTCGAGATTTTGATAAATTTGATCTTTAAATGCTTATAAAAAAAAACTGTGCCTATGTATTTTTAATATTTTTCAACTGATATTGTAACAATATATCAGGAGCCTTGTATTAAATTTTTACACTTTTTGGACCAACAGATAAAACTTTATTGATATTTATAGAAAAAAAAACTAAAAAAAATTGAAAGCTGTAAATGTCCATAAACAGCTCAAAAAGAGTTAAAATATTTTCAAAATTGTATGGTGTATAGGAAATGCTAATATAAACATTCAGTGAAATTTTCATGTATCTACAGTTATTTGTTTTTGAATTACAACAAAATAAGGAAATCGCTACATGAGAAATCGAGTGAATACCCAATGTTGTAAAAATTTGAATTTCAAACTCTCATAAAAATTTAATTTGACATTCCGGTAGAGATTTTTTTATTGATAAAGGTAGACAAACTTATGAGTAATCTTATATTACATTTTCAAATCTTAGATTTAAAAAGAAAAATTTTTACGAATTCTTAACTCAAAATAATTTGCTAATTTTCGTGATTTTTCCATATTTTGTCAATTTATGAACTTTAAATGCTTATAAAAAAAAATTGTGACTAAGGATTTTTAATATTTTTCATCAGCCTTTGAAACAACATATTAGGAGCCTTCTATTAAATTTTCAAGCTTTCGCAACCAACAAATAAAATTTTATTGATATTTTAAGAAAAAAAACTAAAAAAAAATGGAAAATGAAAATGTCCCTAAACAGTTCAAAATAAATCAAAATATTTTGAAAATGTTATCGTGTATAGAAAATGCAAATATTAACAACCAGTGAAATTTTCATGTATATACGTTCATTTGTTTTAGAGTTACACCAATAACCAAAATCGATTTTTTGGAAAACCAATTTTGCGTAAAAATTCCCGTTTTTCCTTAATTTTTGTGTTGTTTTTCCCGGCGCTTGTGAAAACTACTGCGAAATTTATACTTTTGACCCCCCAAAGTACCAACTAGATTCACTTTCCTATCAGAAAAGCTACTGATGAAGAAAATCCAAGCACTTTTACTGTCCTAAAACGTGATGACAGACACAAAAATATAAATAAAAATATAAAAATATAAATAAAAATATAAAAACATACATCATTGTAAAACCAATACATTCATCGCTCCGCTCAGAATCTAAAAACACATCATTGTAAAACCAATACATTCATCGCTCCGCTCAGAATCTAAAACGGTTTTATTAAATTTTAGGTACCTACCTGTTTATACACGAAATATATTTGTAGTAATTTTACATTAAATTGGTTAATGTGTTCGTAAATATTCTAAAAATGTTGAATAAATATTCAATTAACAAAAACTAAAAAAAAATGGAAAATGAAAATGTCCCTAAACAGTTCAAAATAAATCAAAATATTTTTAAAATGTTATCGTGTATAGAAAATGCAATTATAAACAACCAGTGAAAATTTCATGTATCATGTCATTTGTTTTAAAGTTACACCAAAAACCAAATTCGATTTTTTGGAAAATCGATTTTGCGTAAAAATTCCCGTTTTTCCTTAATTTTTATGTTGTTTTTCCCGGCGCTTGTGAAAGCTACTGGAAAATGTTTACTTTTGACCCCCCAAAGTACCAACTAGATTCACTTTCCTATCAGAAAAGGTACTATTGAAGAAAATCGAAGCACTTTTACTGTCTCAAAACGTGATGACAGACACAAAAAAAAAAAAATATAAAAATATAAAAAAAAAAAAAAAAAGGTGGGCAAGTGGGTGTCGCTCTGCTGTACAGTAGGTTACAAGTGGGTCACTGTATAATGGATGGTATTAAATTTGAATTCAATGATATAATATCATTGAATAAGAAAAACGATTCTGAGCGGTGATGGTATGTCAGTCTATGTATAAGGCATATTATATACATATCTATTAAACAAAAAATTGACCTATAATAGGTACCTATAATAAATTCCAAATTAATCATATCACAATATCCATTAGATACTTATAACGCGTTATACATCAACAAAAACCGTGATACTATCATAGATATATAATAGTACACTTTAGAAGTTTCAAGTACCCACGAATAGTATTATTCAATCACAACAAAATAACTAAAATCGTAATTCTTGGTTTAAATATGAAATTTTGTCTAAATTTGAAATTAAAATGTCTGTAAAAAATAAGTGTGTTTATATATTTTTTAGATTTTTTGGTTACAGTATGAATTATTTAAGAGAATCTTTGTTTTAAATTTTCAACTCTTAGTTATAAAAACTGAACATTTTATAATTTTTTAATTCCAACGATTGATAATTTTCGAGATTTTGATAAATTTTGTCAAAATTCCAACTTTAAATGCTTATAAAAAAAAATCGTGCCTATGTATTTTTAATATTTTTCAACTGATATTGTAACAATATATCAGGAGCCTTGTATTAAATTTTTACACTTTTTGGCCCAACAGATAAAACTTTATTGATATTTATAGAAAAAAAAAACTAAAAAAAATTGAAAGCTGTAAATGTCCATAAACAGCTCAAAAAGAGTCAAAATATTTTCAAAATTGTATGGTGTATAGGAAATGCTAATATAAACATTCAGCGAAATTTTCATGTATCTACAGTTATTCGTTTTTGAATTTCAACAAAATAAGGAAATCGCTACATGAGAAATCGAGTGAAAATCCAATGTTGTAAAAATTTGAATTTCAAACGCTCATAAAAATTTAATTTAACTGTCCGGTAGGGATTTTTTTATTGATAAAGGTAGATAATCTTATAAGGAATCTTGTGTTTCATTTTCAAATCTTAGATTTAAAAAGAAAAATTTTTACGAATTCTTAACTCAAAATAATTTGCTAATTTTCGTGATTTTTCCATATTTTGTCAATTTTTGAACTTTAAATGCTTATAAAAAAAATTGTGACTAAGGATTTTTAATATTTTTCATCTGCCTTTGAAACAACATATTAGGAGCCTTCTATTAAATTTTCAAGCTTTCGCAACCAACAAATAAAATTTTATTGATATTTTAAGAAAAAAAACTAAAAAAAAATGGAAAATGAAAATGTCCCTAAACAGTTCAAAATAAATCAAAATATTTTGAAAATGTTATTGTGTATAGAAAATGCAAATATTAACAACCAGTGAAATTTTCATGTATATACGTTCATTTGTTTTAGAGTTACACCAATAACCAAAATCGATTTTTTGGAAAACCAATTTTGCGTAAAAATTCCCGTTTTTCCTTAATTTTTGTGTTGTTTTTCCCGGCGCTTGTGAAAACTACTGCGAAATTTATACTTTTGACCCCCCAAAGTACCAACTAGATTCACTTTCCTATCAGAAAAGCTACTGATGAAGAAAATCCAAGCACTTTTACTGTCCTAAAACGTGATGACAGACACAAAAATATAAATAAAAATATAAAAATATAAATAAAAATATAAAAACATACATCATTGTAAAACCAATACATTCATCGCTCCGCTCAGAATCTAAAAACACATCATTGTAAAACCAATACATTCATCGCTCCGCTCAGAATCTAAAACGGTTTTATTAAATTTTAGGTACCTACCTGTTTATACACGAAATATATTTGTAGTAATTTTACATTAAATTGGTTAATGTGTTCGTAAATATTCTAAAAATGTTGAATAAATATTCAATTAACAAAAACTAAATAAAAAACCTAAAAACTGACTCAAAAGAAACAAAAATGCAAATAAATATAAAATAAAATTGTATATTTGAACTCTGTGATGTATGAATCGGATTTTGTATTCGATGAGCTATGTATTGGAGTGCTTTAAAAAAAAATGAAAATGGTACAAATTCCTGGCCCTAGATATAATACATACAATTTAAACAATAAACAATTTGAAAAATAAGATTGAAGTAGTTAATATTTTCTTCTATAATGTGATAATTTGTATAAAAATGATTCATCCGATTTCAAAAAATCATATTTATTGTAAAATTTGATTAATCATTTTAAGGTATGAAGTTCCTATTATTGTGTTCCCATCAAAGAAAAATGGTCCGTACACTTTCTTTCTGGAAACGGCGCAGAAAAGTTGGGCGAATTCCTTTCATGTTCGACAACTACCCGTGGATTCTCTAATCCCCAAATTCGCACATTGGGACGATATACCTTCCCATTTAAATGAAAAGTGGCCCCATCACTGAAAATGATACGATAGAAAAACTGTTCTACCTCTTCACTCTTCTCGAGAAAAAATGTACAAAACTCAATTCTTTTTTGCATATCACCGTCATGGAGAGCCTGCAACAATTGAATTCTGTAAGGTTTAAGTCTCAGGCGTCTGCTCAACACACGCCAAACTGTTTTCGGTGGTATTGCAAGTTCTCTGGATGCTTGACGAACTGATTTCTGTGGACTTCTTACAAAACTTTGTCGAATTTGTTCAACATTTCCATCCGAAGTTCTTGGTCTACCTGATGACTTCCCTTTACATAAGCAACCAGTTTCTTGGAAGGTTTTATGCCATCTTCGAATACTCTGGGCTGTTGGAGGTTCAATGTTAAACTTTCGTCGAAAATCACGCTGCACGGTAATAACAGACTCGCACTTCTCAAAGCGGAGTACACAAAACGCCTTTTGTTGCTCGGTCGACATTTTGATAACTACTAATTAAGTTACGCCACATGACTAAACTGCACATTAGCGCGACTTATCGGCAATCGATAAAAACTCGATAACCCCACCTTTCAGATGGTTGGCGCTTCGTATCCTAGTTCACTAACCATTACGGTGCCAAATTTATCAACTAGATAACTTAAAATAAACTTAGTTATCTAATCTTTCCATTATTACATTGGTCATTAACCTGCGATTAACCGTGTCCGAACTATATCAGTTCGTAATCGGATGAATCATTTTGAAACACTCTGTATATTATTATTTAAAAATTAAGATTCCTACGACATCTGAAGGTTGGTTAGCTATTTCAAGAGGGTACGAAGATCGTTAGAATTTTCCCCATTGTTTAGCGCAATGGACGGAAAACATATGTAGTCCTACAAGCTCCATTTAATAGTGAAAGCGAGTATTTTAATTACAAAGGACATTTTAGTATTGTATTATTTGCACTCGTTGATACCAACAATAACTTTATATACGTGAACGCCGGATGTAAGGGTAGAATTTCGGTTGGCGGAGTTTTTAAAAATTGTGAGTTATATAAAAAAAAATGGAAAATCACTCGTTGAATATACCAGCCCCAATACCATTACCAGGAAGAGAAATATCAGTGCCATATTTTGTACTTGGTGATGAAGCATTTCCACTGAACGAACATGTCATGAAAGTATATTCCGGTTTACATCCCGTTGGTTCAGTTAAACGAAATTTCAACTACCATTTATGCAGGGCCCGTCGTGTAGTTGAAAACGTTTTCGGAATTTCGTGTTTTACGTAAGCCAATGCTATTAGAATCCGAAAAAGCAGAGGTTTTTATGATGGCTGTAGCACACCTCCATAACTTTTTACGAAAAAGTATGAATTCGGTAAACATTTATACACCAAGTAGCACATTTGATAGAGAAGTTGGTGGACAGATAACGGAAGGAAATTTTAGATCAGAAAACAATAATATAGTAAGAACGTTATCTGTGTTTGTACGTGGGTTTTTTACGATAACTCAGTTTTTAAGTGAGTTCTAAGCATTTTTAATTTACTTTTTATTATTTACGTTACAAAATCTTATAGTATTCGAATAGGTTATCTACTTAGCAAGACTGGCTAATAATATTGTATCTAATTAATATTTATAAAATTTCTTTTATAATTACCTGAGCCAGTTCTCTGACTTTTTTTCATCCTCGCCTTTTCCCGCCGAAATGATGCACTAAGGCAGATCATTTTTTTCTTACATTCATCCGATGTCTTTTTCATTTCTGTGGCCAACTCTTCCCACTCATCGGATTTTGAGAATTTATTGTAATACCTTGGGTGCTTTGGGCCTTGGGGACCATAGTATCGGTTTTTTTTTCAAACACTCAATAAGGTCCAACACCTTTTCGTTGTTCCAATCCATTTTTAAATTTTAATTAAATTTATACAAATTAACCACTTTAAAACGGTTAAACTTTTAAACAGTCCTGTAGCAGTAGCGATCAGGGCGATTCGCTGCTCGCAACTGGTTACCCTAAACACTAGGGTCGTGTAGTAATGTAACATTCCTTTGATGTTCGTCAAAATACCGACGGCGTCGCGAGCAAGCAGTCACGAATGTATAGGCGCGTCCACACCTGAGCACGCTAGAGATGAGCGATAATTACAGTGAGCAAAATATCGCGATCGCTGTGTGTACTCAGTATAGACGTCGCACGGTGCGAGCCATAAATTAGGTGAGCAATGTTGAACGATTTTGGTGCTCAAGTCATTCGCTGGTAGGAACTGGTCACTAGTAGTTGTCATTTGTGTTCAATTATTTTTATAACTTGGCACACAAATGGCAAACAATTTACAAATTTCCAGCGCCGCTTATATTGTTATGCCTTTATTAACAAAAAAAAAAAAAAAACAGTCAAGTCGATTTTTCGATCAAGTCAAATATACAATGGCACAAGTATGGTACGTGATTTCAACTTTCATACAGACTCCGATCAGTTTGAAAATTTTCCAACAATGTCACAAGAGGATTTTGAAACCCTTGTATCGCTACTTTCGCCAAATAGACTAGGTACTCATTTCAGGGAACCAATTCCAGTTAAGGTACGGTCTCCAAGGCGACCGGTCGCGGCGACTTGTCGTCAATATCTGTTTTTACAGAAATCGTATTATCTGGTCAGCAAGACGCGACAGGTCGCCGCGGCCGACGACAATACTACTCGTGAAGCAGTAGACAGCGATACATCAAGACGACACCATGTCGAAATTAGTCTTTTTGCCGTCTGAAGACGAAATTTTGTAAATGAAGAACAAAACAACCCAATATTATATAATATGGGACTAGAAGAGTACAGAAATATTATCACGAAAAATAAAATATGGAAAGATATAGCTACAAAAATTGGAAAATCTAGTAAATAAAATGATATATTATAACTAATAAATACAATACTTAAATAATTTTTTTATTGAACCAAATATAAATATAATGATTCTTAAATCAAATTTATCAAATGTATAGCAGATGATACTAAAAAACGTTGGAAAAACATTAGGGATTCGTACTCGAGAAATAAACGAAAACCTGCGACTGGATCGGCAGCATCAACCAAAAAAAATGGTCACTGGCTACACATCTCACTTTTTTGGACGAAGTTGAATGTGAAAGAGAGTATGTATTAAAATTAAAATTACTTTTATTTTTGTTATAAAAAAGGGCAACAAGTACCGCTCTGCTGTATAGTAGGTTATAAGTGGGTAAATGTAGTTTATTTTCTATAAATATTTTTAGCGGATAGAAAATCGTAATATAAACATAAGGATCATAATAAATATTGATAATAAGTAGGGTTCTAAAATTTCATGAAATTTTTTTTTTTTTAAATATGTCATACTCATAACCCTAATAATAAGTATCTATAAAAAATAAATATCTATTATTTATTTTTTATTTTTTATTGAATAACCATAAATAATTTTCATTATAACATTTAAAAATTTTAGAAATTAATACATTTCTTACATCTTTAGCTCAACTTGTAACGTGACACTGGAACAAAATACAGATGTTTCTCTCGATGAAGAAAGAGATGATACACTATGTGAAGCAACTAATGACTTACCGGCTGAAAGTTTTACTAGGAAGCGTGGATTTTCTAAGTCAAAAAGTGTTGCTGCTTTGTTAACAAATAATTCAGAAGAACGATATTCCATTATTAAGCAAATTATGGATCAAAATGAAGACATTTTGGATAAAAAGGAAGAGAATGTGGATGAATTGGATTTATTTTTTAAAAGTATGGCTGCAACAGCTAAAAAATTACCTACCAAAGGAAAGCTTGAAGATAAAAGAAAAATATTTTCATTGATGACAGAACTAGGAGAAAAGTGTTTTTTATACGAACAACCTGTAAATCAAAATACTGTTCACCAAATGACTAATGTTCATGGTCCACATACTGCTCAGCAACATCTTCATACATTACATTCTATTCAACCTTCCCCATCAGGTTAGTATGTACTCTACATCTTCAGGTTCACAGTTTTCCATGTTTAATTATGATGACCCACTTGCATTACATTCGTCTAAGTAATATATTTGATTTTGTTTTGTTTTAAATTTTACATTAACTTGTTGAGTATTTTGTAATTTGTATTAAAAGGTTGATTTTTATTATGTAGGTATAAGTAATACCTGAATTTATTTTAGAAGTTTATTTTTGTTTTTTCAACTTTAAATTTACCTGTGGAGTAACTTGTTATTTGTTTTATTAAAATGTTGATTTTTATCATGTTTTAGCAATAGTAATTAATATGTCTTAATTAAAAGTATTAAAAAGTATATGAAAAAAGTTATTTTTTATTTTATTGTTATTTGTAAAAAATATTTTATAGTTAATAATTTAATATTTTTAATATTAAATGTTGACATGAAATTTCACTTAATAATATAAATAATATATTATAAAATATAATATAATTAATATATAAACTTAAATATCTTTATTAATTATACATACTAATATTACAATACAATCCTGCAATGTGTTATTTAACTGATACAACAACTTTTTAATTAATTAAATTTAAATATATTTCATAAAATATAAAATTAAGAGTTTGTTTGCCAAGAAACAGCCCATTCATTATTAAAAAATTCTTTAAACAAATTTCTAACTTCAAATCCTTCAATATTTGATAACCCTCCTCGTCGAGAAAGTGGCATCAAATTGTCAGTTGGTGGTAGTTGTTCGGTATCGTAATCGAAGAATGGTCGTTTATTTTTTTCCAAGTACCCATCACGTAACATATTATTTAGACAGCAGGTTACCCAAATTAGATCGTCGATTGTAGTCGTTTCTAAGTTAATTGGCTGATAAAATATTCTGAAAATTTGGCTTAGCAATCCGAAAGCATTTTCGGTAACTCTTCGAGCACGACTTAGTCTGTAATTAAACACACCTTCTAAAGGATTTTCTCTGGCAGATTTTCTCGTATATGGTTTCAAAATATGTTTATGTAAGCGAAAAGCCTCATCACCTACAATTACATGGGGTGCTACCTTATCTGATCCCGGAAGTTGACATTTTTCTGGAAATAAAAATGTCCCATTTAAAATTTTTTGTCCCATATTTGACTTCAAAAAAATACCACTATCGCCTTCTTTTCCGAAGGAACCAATGTCAACAACAATAAATTTATAATTCGAGTCCACCATCGCCAGAAGTACAATCGAATAAAAATCTTTATAATTATGAAATAATGACCCAGATTTACTGGGGCTTCGTATACGGACATGCTTCCCATCAATTGCCAAAATGCAATTTGGGAAATTCCACTTGTACGAAAATGCTGCTGATTTTTGCTTAAAATCTATATTTTTTGAATCTGGCAAAAAAATGGGTACGAATTTAATTCTCAATTCAGCTAGTGTGCTTTTTATTATTGTGTTTAAGAGGATGTCAGAGTGAAAGTAGAACGTATACAACGCTCAAGAGATGGCGTTGTGCTCCGTATTGCCGCCGTCGTGACAGCTTTTAACCACGCCCATTGTATCAACGACGTAGCCGCGCGTATTAATCTCGGGAGAGACGATTTATTCATGTTCAAACCATAGACCTATTAACTAAATGGGCCTTATGGGGTAATTTTTTGAGAAGTAATTAAAAAAGTAATTAAAAAAATTTCATATTTCATTTGTAACGTCACAAGTTTTTCGTGCACAATTATTATTATTATTGTTATTACTTATTATAAATCATTGTTATTACTATTATTAAAACCACCTTATTCGATTCAAATGATTCGAATCAGTATAATGATTCATTTTTCCCATCCCTACTTATTATTATCATAACTGTTGCGCGCTCGATGAACAGTCTAATCTACAAAGTTATGTCTCCACATACTACTTCCCCCCCCTCTCTACACAAAGGTTCAGTTGTGAACACAACGTCTGCCGGTCGGATGACACCGTCGTTCGAGGAAGACGTGCAATTAGCGGTACCGACAGTGCAACCTGTATCCATATAATAATTGTCAATACCCCTGATCATGCAATACTGACCTGTCCCACTCTCACAAGACGACGTCTACAACCAGCGGCTGGACACCACCGACCATCGTCTCGTTGCATTTTTCCCGAGACCTCTGAGCCGACACAACGTTTTGTCAATCACGTCTCTCGACTCAACCACTTCCGACTCTCGTCAACTTCGGATCATTCCTATTATTCTCGAGGCCGTACCAAACAATATGATGGGCTAAGATCCTCCACAGGCCTACTGGTGGCCAGATATCCGGTCAACTGTCAACTCTCGTTTCTGACCGCAAGACGGTTGATGCCGTGTGTGTTGGTGGCTACTCAGCCCAGCCGTCCCGCTGTCAAAAGGACCACATCTCAAGACCTGTAACGTATCAATGTAACATTCCCCCCCCCATGTCCCTCTCATTTATAACTGTAATGTGTTTCTTTTAATTATTTTTTTTATTCCTACGCGATATCTCAGGCGGTAACCCAACGGTGGCCATATTCTCATCATTTTATATTATTATTAAAATCACCGTAGGTAATGGCGGGCTTTGTGGGCTGACCTGCATTTCGCTAATTATAACGCACTAGTTGTGTGCGCCAAATCATTATTCACCTCATAATTATTATACTCCTATAACTGCCATGTGTCAAAACCATTATTATTAAAAAATGTATGTCAAAATTATTCAACCATTGTAAATCAAAAATGTAGACTGACCGATCTCAAGTAGACTTGATGAAAATTTCAAATCTGTTTTCAGAATCCTTATCGTTTCACTAGATTAATCGGTACGTTGGAAATAGAACACGTCTATAATCCTATGTTGCGCATGTGTTAGACAAAGACAGGAAATCACCGCCACCAATCCCCTTAAGTTAATAGTATTTGTTTACTTAATTTAAACTTCGCTTTTAATTTAATTGAAAGAAAAATACTTAACTTAACTGAGTCAAAAAATATCATTAACTTGCCTAGCCTTGATTATTTTTAACTTTTTTTTTATAAATACATTTTTTAATAAAAGTTAACGTTAACTGTGTTTAACACAAAAGATATTGGTACTTACAAGTCGGTATCCAAGAGGTAATTTAAAACTATTCCAGTCGCTAATTATGTCACTTGTTGAAGTTGCTTTTTGAATTTCGTTTAACCTAAATTTTGTTGTTGCTTTCCAATTACGTTCAACTTCCGGAAATGTACAATTTGTGTCATTTTTAATTTGATCCACAATGTAACTGATGTCTTTTTCTGGTTCTGATGCATATCACAAATGCAATAAGTAAAAATACATCATAGGTATAAGGTAGTGAGTGAAAAATATCTTACCAAAATCTATACAATGTTTGCGACTAATAGGCTTATCAACATTTTTTACATTTTATGTGACAAGACCAGTTGATTTTAAAAACCTCATAGAATTATAAAACTTCGAGTAGAGTTTTCCTTTTGGATTCTTGTTTGATTCGTACTTCATAAAATATGTATCCTAAGATTAATTTTTAAACAATTATTATTAGTACAAATTATGTAATTATATATTACTCCTTTAACTTACTTTTACTTCTGATGGAAACATAGAAATTATTTGATCACCAATGAAATCAGCAAGGTTGACCGAAATGGTCATTTTTTTGGTAATGATGTAACTAATGATGGCATCTACTAATAATGATCTAATATTATCATTAAACCTATTGTTAGTTTTATAATATTCCAATATCATTCCACCAGTAGTTGATGCGTTCAATATAACACCCAAATCAATATCATGAACTAAAGATTTTTGTTGATGAAATGTTTTTGTGGTAGGAGTATTATATGAAATTGTAGTAGTCATATTTCCATTTTGAGGTAAACATTTTTTCCATATTTCCAAATTATTAATGAACTTAAATCGAATTCCTAATGAAAATGTATTCAATAATTCTTTACAATCATCATCTTTTAACAATTTCATCACGTTCAGATCTATTAAATCAGCTAAAAAAGATTTTACAGTATATTGTCAAAAATAATATAATTTATAATAAACAATGACTCTATTGACTATGAGCTAACTAACCAAGCAATGTTTGATAAACGCATTCCAATCCACAATCTCTGAGCAAGTCTAGTAAAGGTTGAAGATCTTCAGTTGGATAGCTATACCCTGGTACTAGTGGCATTACAACTGCAGTAGAAGATTCTGTATCTAAAATCTATTAATATACAAACTATGATTAACTATATTTGTTTATAGTAAGTATCGGATGTCAAAACAATTGCAGGAACTAAAAAAATGCAGAAATAAGTATGAGATTCATGCAAATGTATATTTTAAAAATTAAAAATACTTGCAAAATGATCATTTTCATTATTTGATAGTAAAGATTCTTGTAAATTCTCGTTAATTTCAAATTGCTCCATCATAAAATAAAATATCCAATACACAGTAGGTATGTTATGTAAGTAATCTATATTTGAAAAGCCAAAAGCATAATATTTACAGTAAGTAGGTGCATAAATATTAATGTAAATGTATGTATATATATATATATATATATATATATATATATATAAATGAGTATATAAATGTTAAAAAAATTCTTTAAGGTGAATCATTAATTTTCCTGAAGGAGATGGTGTAATGTTGATTGGTGGCCCACTAAATTCGTCTACATTATAAATCACACAATCTTCAATAACAGTTTTGTCGCAATCTACCTCAAATGCTTCAAAGTGTGAATTAAAGTTGTTAATCTTAATTTGCTTAGCTAGAATGTGAATTTTTTTATTCGGTATATTAAAAACTATTACTTCTATAATTTCAAACAAGCTCATCTCTTCTATAAATTTTGTCAAATATTATCCTTTTTTATAAATTGTTCCCATAAATTCTATTTGGTTGTAACAACAAAAATCAACAGATGACAGAGAAAGAATTTTGCATATATTATCTGAATTTAAACTACGTATTTTGTGCTTTTCTTTTATTATAATTTCTTGAGTGCTGGATTGTAAAAGAATGTGAGCAAACTTATATTGGCATTTCTTTGCTAAAGTTAAAGTAATATTTTTCCTGGATGTTGTAATCCGAGCGTACATTTTTAATTCTCTATGTTTTCCTTCATATTTACAACACCAATAAAACCTTGGAGGTCCAGAGTATTGAATAATAGTTGGGTAGTGAATTAAAAAGTGGTGTTTGGGTTTTAAAGTATCATTAAACAGTCTAATATACATTGAGTTATGTTGACTTATTAATTGTTTAAGGTCCATAATTTTGCCGTCAGTAAAATTATATGAGAGAAGTAAATCAATGAGCTTTAACAGGGTTAAGAAGAATTTCCACACTTCATCGTCATCAGGAATTAAATCTCCAACCATAATTGGGAAAAAATGAATAAATGACATCATCTCCCTCGCAGACATTTTCAAATGACATTTATTTAAATGCAGGGCTTGAAACCGGTAACCGATTTTTCCCGGTAACCGGTTACCATGAGTACTTTTTGGACTGGTATCCGCTTCCCGGTTCTCGAGTTTCAATTTTGAGAAGCGGTTATCAATTACCGGTAATCATGGAATTTGATAAAGGGGGAAATCTATAACGGTAACCGTTTATTTTTAGAACCGGTTAATTAATCGGAAGTATACAAAACCGTAAATCTCAAACCAATTAACGTAAAAATAATTTTTTTTTAATTATATTGAATATTCTAAATAGAAGAAAATAATATTTATAAAATACTAAAATAGATTATTTTAGAACTACTAAGTATTAAAATTTAAAATTACCAAAACAAGCGTGTTTGATTGCGGAATCGTATCGGCGCACTAACAAAAAATTCTCAGTAGTCAGTACCTATGATATAGGTACTGAATACTGATACAGTGATACGAATGGTAGAAACATCGACGAATGCGGGCGGATACATATATAATATATATATAATAGTATATAACTCTTGCATGTACGATATTGTACCAAGTACTAGGTAATAGGTAGGTACCTTATAACTTATAATCAGGGACTGTTTTTATATTCATTATTTAATAATAAGTTAGTTACATTAGTTCGAAATAATAGTAATACTGAACAAAACTGTGTAGTACTATACTAAACATGTTAAGTTTGATGAAAAAAAATAGAGTAGGTATTAAAACAAAAAAAAAATGGTTTTGTGAGGTAACCGGTAATTTTGAAGATTTAAAAACGCTTCCAAATAGATAACCGGTAATCCCATTTATAAAATTTATTTCGGTAAGCGGGAAATGATTATCATTATTTCTAAAAACCTCGATAACCGGTAACTGGTTCCAAAAAATTTTCTATTATTTCTTCAGGAGCGGTTTCAAGCCCTGTAATTAAATGATTCACTGATATTACAGGTGAAATATTGCCAACTTCAATAGGGCCATAGTTAAAGTTGGTTTTACGTTTATTTAATGTATCTAATGAAAATATTTGAGCAGTATAAACAGAATATTTAATGATATGACATATATCGTAGTGACAAATGCCTTCAAACACATCGTGCATTACATCCACACAATAATTTTCAGTAACATGGAAACTATTTATTACATTTAAAATTGAATTTTTATTAATACCAGTTTCACTGAAATCCATCTTAGCCACATCATCTGAATAATTTATACTGTTACGCCTGCATAATATATTTTCTACACATAGCTTTTGGGCAATACTTTTATGTGTTTTACAAAACCGACAATTATAATTTGATGAAAACGATTTACTGAACACAAGTATACTATTGAGCCCCAAATTATCACCCAATACTAAACCAAGAATAAAATATACTTGAAATTCACCATATCCTGTTAAAATACTAAGTCCTTCTTCTTCAAGAAAATTAATTTCATTAATTAATTGTAACAAACATGGGTCATTTCCAAACTCTTTAAGATCAGCAGATTTAATCAGTGCTGCTAAAAATATATTTGATAATTTTGAATTGTTTTCAACAAGCGGAAAACTGTAATAAATGGCAGCAATTGACTGGTAAGTAGCATGAGATCCTAAAGGGTTATTTATCTCAAAATCATCAATGTACAAAAAAATATGGAAAAACTATTTTTCCCTCAAATTGAGTTATTTTTTTTCCCCACAATTTTCCTTGGACAAAATTTGAAAGAACATTTCCAGATGCTTTTAAACTTAGAAGACGGTCATACATCATTTTAAAGTTATTGCTATTTTCAAAAAATTGTTTGAATTGTAATTTTAGTGGCAAAAGAGTCCCTTTGGTAATTTTTTCATTGTAATAAATTTCACCTCCTTGATTTACAGCACACAGCTCATTATTAATATTTATCTGTTGGACATTTGACAAGAGTTTATTATCAATCAACCATTTGTTTAAACGGTATTCTGTAGAACAGTAAATAAAAGGATTTAAAATTACAGTTTCTAATCGGTTAAAAGTTGATAATAATATGGGTTCTTTAATATCTTTATTAACTAAATTTTTAAGTAAATAAGCCATTGGCTTTAAAATGTTTTCTTTTACACCAGATTGAATGTATTGGACATCACTAATAGTAAAATTATTGTTGTTGTAAAGACTTAAAATAAATTTTACAGTTGATTCATATAACAGTTTAGTTGAGTTTTCAAAATTGAAATTATCAGTGAGTTTATCATGAAAAGGCTCTTCTAAATCTAAACTTGGGTCATAACTCAGTTTAATTTTTTTTGATACTTATACATCAACATTACTGGTAGTGGGTATATTTTGAAAAACGTGATCACTAATTATGTGTTTTTTATTAACATGCCTTTTAAATGAAGATAAGCAGTTAAACGACTGAGAGCAAGCATTTTCCAAGCATGTATAAGCACTGTCCGATTTCAATAAGTGAATAATTTTAAAGTGGACCACCACCAAAGCTTGCAAATCACCAACGTTAACATTACACAAATAACAAATCATTTTCTTACCACGAGCTTTCGGCGTATAAAGTCCGGCGAAATCGTTTTAATAACATTTTTTTAACAAATCATAAAAACTATTCACCACCGGTCGATTGAAGCCCATAGCCCTCACAGCCGAAGTTGGTTCTGGGATCCGTACTGACAACTCTGGGTGCCTTAATAAAAAGCCTTTTAACCAATCTTGACCTACATAAAAAAAATTAAAAGATAATATAACAATAAACTTTAAAATATATAAATAAAAATAATCATTGCTTAATTCACCTGCTAAACCATTTGTTTTATTAAAATTATGAGCAATATTGTTTCTTTCGGCAAGTTCAAAGACCAATTTTTTAAAATGATTTTGTGTTAAGCCAAACAAACGACTTTCCATTTCTTTTAAATATTGTACAAGAACATTTTCTTGTTCGATTGAAAATACTTTTTGATAATGTCCCAAACCTATAACAATAACAATTATACTTTTAATTGAAAACAATTATTTCAACACATAATTGACAAGTTTACAATAAGCACCCCCTTATAACCAAATATGCTATCTAATATCAGAAGAAAAAAAATGGTTTTTTTTAATAAGAAATTTTCTGTAATAATATATCAAACTAATTACCATAATATTGTGTAATCATTAAATATACCTTTTAATCCACACTGTTGTACATTTAATTTTCCTTCTTTAACTTTTTTGACTTGATCCTGTAACGTTGAACGAGGAACTTCATAACGAATAGACACAGCATCATAAGTCATACTTCTTTCCACCACAGCTAATACAGCCATTTTCATATCATCTTCCAACCATGATTGTCTGTTTGAGATTTCCGAATATAATTACGAACCATACTAAGAAAAATAAAACATTTCAATAGTAATAAATTGTTTAAATTCAACAATAGCAATTGTCAAAATATCAATGTAGTAAAACCGTACAGTGTATAACCATACGATTATGCCCCACAAGACTAGATACTAAAAGTTATCGAGCTTCGTATCAAACATTAAATTAATAAATTAATGCATTTATTCTACAAATGTATATTACACTTCATTAGCTATTGAATAATAAATATGGTAGGTATACCTGAAAATATTGCAAACAAGTAAAAACATATACTTCTAAACTTATGAAAAGGGATAGTTTTATAAGTATTTTTTCTATGTTGCATATCGCAAATTATTGAAAATTAGTAAAAATTGATCTCATATTGTGGACACCATTAATTCGGCGAATAATATTAATATTTAAAATATTTATTTTTAAATAAGCTTGTTGATAAAAAAAACTAACTGGTAATATTATGGGATACAAATGTATAATTACTTAGCTTTTGTAGTTAAGACGCTTTTGATTTTATTGCTAACCCCTTTCTTATTTTATTTTTTTTTTTAAATATTGTTCGCAATGATCAGTCAGATTTTTATTTTTTATACTTTAATTATGTATGTGTATTTATTAACTAGGTTTGAATCACAATTAAAGATGAGATTTTCTGAAAAAAATAAAGAATTATTCAAGATCTTTGAAATTTTCGATTATTCTAGTCCTTATTACTTTAATACAAAGTGTCCATACTTGAAGTTTTTTTATCGAGCACTACAAACATTTTCAAATAAATATATTAAATCTTTCATCAGAATTTAATTCAGCAAAATCATTGTTAAAAAATAAAGATATTTTAAAACCAGATTTGTATTCTATAATGAATACTGTGACTCTTCACTCTGGAGCTTTTATTGAAACAATAAAAATTCTTCACATTATTATTACGCTTCCAATAAGCATCTAATTGCAAATAGAATCTAATGAAAGGTTCTTTTCTTCTCTTAAAAGATTGAAATCCTACATTAGAACTACTATGAGTGATGATCGTTTGAGTAATTTAATAGTAATTGCTGGAGAAAAAGAAGATGCTGGCAAAGTTACCTTAAATGCAGCTGTAGATGAACTTGCTCAACTGAAAGTTCAAAGATACAAACTTATTTAAGAAGAACTCTTCAATTCAAACTATAAATAATTTATTGCTTGCTTATTTCAAATAACTACATGTATTAGAAACATAATTTTTTTTATATATATTTGTTGCTAACAACTTTATTTGTATAATTAAAGATTCAATTTTAATTTATGGTACTAGTCATTTTAAGTTAAGATGCTATTATTAAATGTTTGAATTGGGCTTATAGATGACAGTGTAATCTAGATTACATAACAGCATATTAATAACAAAAAAGCAGCTTGCTAATAACTACTGTAATCTAAAAGAAGTACAAGTTCTATGGGAGCATAGGGTTCTATTTTTATTCTGCAGTTTCTTTTGCTATTTGTTATTTTCTCATTGCAGATTTATTTTTCATCCCTAATAGTAAGGTAGAAATAACTCCAACATGGCTACATTTAAATTTTCATTGTTATAACTGTGGCCTGGTGGTAGAAAATATGGCCTGGTAAAAAATTTGGCAGTCCTATTTTAAAACTGAAATGGCACCCCTGACCACTTACCTGGCTATGGGCTCAGATTGTCTACATTGAATGATTTCTGTTATATATGTTTTTTTTGAGTGTTTCTTTTATTTCATCATACCCAAATAGTTCGATAATTCAAGTAATGCGGCTTTTTAAAATAGTTTAAAACAAAACTACCAATTATACAAGTTATAGAGAACCAGGGGTCTCATTTCAGTTTTTTTTTCAGGTGTGCAAGATTTTAGGGAGGCCAGTTTTAACATTTAACCAGGCCAATTTTAACATTTAATATTTAAACAATAACCATGCTGTTTAAAGTATGTTAATATTATCTTCTTCCCTTTCATAATCCTAATTAAAATTACTCATTTCAACTAATGTATATTGTAATTTTCAAATAGCAGTTCAATGTATTAAAATTTTATAACTTTATAAGCAACTAAAACAAGTAGCAACTAGCGGCCAACAGAAGCTATTTTACTACTATTTGTAGAAATAAAAAGCAAATCCTGTATAATTGTATAAAGGAATTTTTTTTAATAAATGAATTGAAAAAACTAATCACTATTCAATATTTATACAAAATAAAAAATTATTTACTATTTTTAAATTTAAATCAGTGGATATCTACGGGTTTTAATATATTATGTATGCTATGCTTACACTATAGCTGATACTAGGGATGTGTCGGTCGCGAACGACCCGTTCACTTTGAACGAATCGCGACAAAGATCCAAACTGATTCAGATCCGATGTAAAAATTGATTCGTTCAATAGTTTAATTGGCTCTTCTGATCAGTTGACTCAACTGTGAACTGATTAACTGACCCTATACCCGGTAGGTAGTTGTAGTGTAGACCCTATATACTGGTTCGTTGATTCGTTGATCCAGTATAGTTTCGGTCTGTCACACTCGTCACAATTTACAGTGTTTACATTGTACATACTTCATAGTACACAGTAACCATCAACCAGGCGAGCACTGATCAGTGAACACAATTGACAATAATATTATACACCAAGGGCGATAGACGTACGTCGTATTGTTCTATGGTCGTACGACGATATCAGTCATCAGTAGGTATTCAGTAATCAGTAATCACAGTTTATCACTTAATCAGTATTTAAAAGTAAAACAAATTAGATAGATAATAGTATCACAGAAAAGATGTAATCACTTCAAATCAGAACGGACATTCTCCGAAAAGTCTGATTACGACCTAAAAGCCACCAGTGTTGCCTTGCAAGAAAACAATTTTTATTTTCCGATAATAAAGTAAAAAAAAATTAAATCTGAAATTTATAATTAATAATATTACCAACTAACAACTATTACATTTTTTCTGGATCGTTTAGATACAGGACGTCTGGACACCCGTGTGTGAATTATTTCATTACTTCGTGTCAAACTAGTCTTAACTGGGTGTCCATTTGGACACAGAAAACATATTTAAAAAATGCCCTGTTGTAGGTACATTTGTCATTTGTATGTCTATTAAAAATCATATACCTAGATAATAATTTCACAAATTATGTCACGTGCCATTAAGCCGTAAACGTATACCTACAAAATATGTTGTTATTTTTTCTTTCTGAAAAGTATTGTTTTGTGGGACTTTGTTATATTATTATTTATTATGGATTCTATAATAAAAGCGTTTGCCCCCGGCCCAACAGAGTGCAAGCACTGAAAGCAAATGGCTCCACCCCCGCGAGCATGCCTATGAGCTGCGCATTTATGCACAAACGGAAATTAAAGCTGCGAATTCCAGTAGGAGGGGGTGATAAAATGTATCTGATTTTAATTGAGAAACATATCGAAATTTATGTTTCAAAATCAAAAATGTGATAATCGGGGATAAACGCATGAAATATTCGGGTGGGTGAGGTTTGAAAAAATTGTATAATCTTTGTACCTAATGCCTATTGTTATACCTATATTAAATTATAGGTAGGTACATAATTGGTATTATTAATATTTTGTGGGGAGGTTAGCCCTTCGCGGCGAAACAATCGCGGCGAAACGATCGCGGCGAAACGATCGCGGCGAAACGTCCTAGACCCTAATATAATAATGTCAAAAATTGTGTTTTTGCCGGAACATGAGGAAATACTTTTAGAGGAAGTCCGGAAAAATCCTGTTTTATACGACAGTGCTGATTTAAAGCACAATGATATAATTCTAAAAGATGATATTTGGAAAGAAATTTGCTTGAAAATTGGCAAATCTGGTAAGTAGTTTAAATTATTTTCACATTCAATATATTGGTTATTTTTTTGGTACACCATGATACAAAATTGTTGAATTAATAATAATAATAATTATCGGTTAACTCGTTATCGTATTTAATATTATACACATATTCATATTAATGTAAAATAAAATAATAATGGTGGTTTTATTATAGCAGATGAATGTAAAAAACGTTGGAAAATATAAGAGATACTTATAACCGAAACAAACGTAAATTGGGCACAGGTTCATCTAGAACATCAAAAAAAGTATGGCCTTTGGCAGCACACGTTTCATTTCTTGATGGATTAGAGTACGAACGAAGGTTCATATTCATCATAAATATAAATTTAATAATCATAGTTAAATTATGTAGAATAAAATAATTATGCATGTCATTCCTTATCTGTACTAAAACGCAGTGGTGTATAAATGATAAATAATAATATGTTTTAAAATAAATATTTATGGACATTGTAATGTATTAATATCTAAATATACACTAATTCCCGCTGGAAAACAAACACAGACATATGAAGGCACCGAGACGCAAATTATTTAAAAAAAATATTGTAGCTATGTATTTTTGGTATTTTTTTAATTGGTATATAAACAACTTATGAGGAACCTTATATTAAAATTTTGAGGTTTTTTATCAAGCTACAAATTTTAATTGAAAATAACTGAAAACAAAATCAAAAATTTTTCGTACCTATATAAATAGCTCAAGAGGATGAGTCCAAACTATTTGAAACCACGAACCTATTCTCATATACGTTATTATAATTTACTACAGTAATTATAGTAATAATATTACAGTAATAATTCAATATGTGATGATATAGTTGTAACATAAAAATAACATGCTTGGCTGACAAACCGACTCTGCTCAGAATCGTTTTTTTAAAAAATTATATATTATAATTTAATTCAAATTTAATACATCCACTCCGACGCCCGACGCCAATTATTCACCTTTTTAAAATTACAAAATAAAACCAACTTTATCACAATATACCTTTTTTTTTTTTAAACCGCAGACAGGGAGGGAAGTAGGTTTCCCCATTGCTGCCTCCCTGCCTACATCATTTATTGATAACAACAAACAAACATCACATTACTGAATAATACAATTACTATACTAACAATACAATAACAATACTTTTGGCCGTTTCAGCCCACATCATCAAGACTTAACTACGGTTCATTTCCTTCATTGTTGGGGATTTGGATCCTGGCGCTGCTGATGTTGCCTTGCCCTTTCCATCTCCTCCTTCTGACCCATGATCAGTTCCACCATGTTGCAGAACAGCTGCCTGTGGGTGGTAGCGGCAGCACACAACCTCTTCCTCTGTGCTGGGTCGTCGGGCAGGTCATCTGGGTGTAATCCGCAAAGGAGATAGGTAACGTCCTCCGGGCGTACAGGCTTCCGCAGAGCTGTTGTTAGCTCCGCCCTTGCTGCATCCCATTCCGGGCAGTAGAATAGCGTGTGCTCTGCGTCATCATTCGCGACTGGGCAGTGGACGCACTCCGGACTATTCTGCCGCTTCTTCTGCCAGAGGTACTTCTGGAAGCATCCATGGCCCGTTAGGGATTGGGCCATGTGGAAACTCACCGTCTTCGGGCCGTGGTACCACCACCTGGACAAGTCAGGGATTAGCCGTTTCGTCCATTCGGACTTTGTTGTCGCCTCCCAGAGACCTTGCCATTGTCGGACAATCTCCACAGTTGTTTCGCACTTCGTTGGTGTGGCACCAGTTCTCTTCGCCATAACTGTTCTCCTCCTGCTGACGGCCTGAAGAGTGACTGGGGGCATTCTGGCCAGCACGAGGGCGGCCATATCTGACACCGTGCGATAGCATCTCGCGACCCTCAGCGCAGCGACCCTCTGCGCTTGCAAGAGGAGGTTGCTGCTCTTTTGGGTCTCCAGAACCCGCTCGGACCAGATAACTGCTCCGTAGAGCAACCGGCTGTGTACTACACTCATTAGGAGGCTCCGCTTGCCTTGTGATGGGCCGCCTACGTTTGGCATAAGCCTCGCCAGGGCAACCGCTGCCTTCTTCGCCCCAGCTGCAACCGTGCTGGCGTGTTCGACGAACGAGAGTCGGGTGTCCAGCCGAATACCGAGGTATCTTACCGAGCGCTTGACCGGGACTTGACAACCTTGTATGTGCAGGCTTGGCTCTCGAAATGAGCGTTTCTTCGTCAGCACTACGCACTCTGACTTCTCTGGTGCCAGACGGAGGCCATTGGAGGACATCCAACCGACAATGTCTTCGAGGGTGGGGTTAAGTAGCTGTTCGATGAGCTCCGCGTTGTGCGCGACTGCCACCACTGCTACATCGTCTGCAAACGCAATTATTCTTATGCCATCTCGCACCGGGAGTCGGAGAACGCCATCGTAAAAAATGTTCCATAGGAACGGTCCCAGGACTGAACCCTGCGGGACACCACATGAGACGGGCATGCACAGGTCCTCGTCCACTGCCAGGTTCCTGGCGTGCATGTACGATCTAAGAGCTCTTATCAGGTACTCCGGTGCAGCGGATCTCCGAAGAGCTTCGTCGATCAGGTTCCACGGCGCCGAGTTGAAAGCGTTCTTAACGTCCAACGAGATGAGTACGCATAGGTGCCTGTCCTTCGCTGGGCCGCGATTGGCTCTCTCGACCACTCTCAGGACATCTTCAACTGCGTCAGTGGTTGACATTGACCGTCTGAAACCATACTGCGAATCGCTGATTGCTCCGGTACCTACGATGTGCTCCTCAAGCCTGTTGAGCAAAATCCTCTCAAAGACCAGGCCAGCCCCGTCTAGCAGACTAATCGGCCGGTAACTGGACGGAAGGTCCGGCGGTTTGCCCTGCCCCTTGTGCAGCAGGACCAACTTCGCACGTTTCCATCGCGACGGGAAATCTCCCTTTGCGAGACACGCGTTGTAGCATTCCAAGAATATCTCTGGAAATCTGCTATACGTTAACCGGATGATCTCGTTCGGAACGAGGTCGGGTCCCAGCGCCTTTCCCGATGGAAGTCTGGCGACGGCGCGACCCACTTCGTCAGCAGTGATTAGAGGCGTCGTAGTGGCCGCATCTGATAGGTCGACTAGGAGTGCCGGTACCTCTATCTCCAGTGGGATGTCTTCCCAAACCGGTGGAGAGGGTGACGGAAACAGTCCGCGGGCCACGGCGACGGTCAGTTCCCGGTCCAGGGTTGGAGTACGACGTCCAAGCCTTTTAGTCACCAGCCTATACGGGACGCCCCATGGGTCGCTATCAACTGCCCGACACAGCTCTGACCAGCTGTTCTCCTGGGCCTTCCGTATCGCCAGCTTGAGCTCAGCCCTCACCCTGCTGTATGTTGCAAGCTCCGGCGATCTGTCCGTCTGTGCGGATCTGCGGCCCGCACGCTGATACACCCTCCTGGCAGCTATGGCAGCCTTCCGCAGTTCGGCGATGGAGTCGTTCCACCAGTGGACTCTCCGCCTCTTCTGGATGATTGTTCTACGCGGCATAGCCGCTTCGCACGTAGCTGTCAGTAGGTCATTGAGCCTCTCGGCGTGCTCTGCAGCGGAGGCGTCGGCCAGCAACGGGCGTGGAGGTCCAGTCAGGTTCCAGAGGACGTTGGCCGCGTCAGGGTTTAACTTTTTGATGGACCACCCCGGTAGCCGTGTGGACGCTGATTCTGGCGGAGCTGCATCAGCCACAGGAAACGTAAATACGTAGTGTATATAGTTGTGGTCACTAGCGGAGTAGACATCATCTAAGACCTCCCAGTCCGAGATAGCTAGGCGGCTGTTGGGTGCAGCGCGCGTGAAGGTGACGTCAATAACTGACGACACGTTGACCCTTCTGTACGTAGGCTGTGTGCCAATGTTCCTGACAACCAGGCCCAATGTCAAGGCAAATTCGGACAGCATTGCCCCTCTCACGTCTTTTGTCGCCGAACCCCACTCCGCAGAATGCGAGTTGAAGTCGCCGGCCACAATTAGACAGTCGCAACAGGATGGCGACGTATCGACCCTTCTAGACCACACAGGAAGAGGTCGAATTCCTGAAGGGAACAGTTCGGCGAACAGTAGCAGCTGTACACCGTAACCGTCCCGACTCTCGCCCAGGCGAAGCCGATGCCGGCACCTTGGTCGGCGATGACCGCGTCAGACTTGGCCGAAACGTATACCGCACACTTGCCATCGCTGCTACCGACCCAGTGATCAGAGTCGCCCATGGCCCTGTTGTAGTCCGATATAACCGCCAGCGTCGCGCCTCTCTCGGCCATCGTCTGCAGCAGAAGCTGTTGCGCCGCCCAGCAGTGGTTCAAATTAATTTGTACTACACCCGTCCCAGTTGGTGTGGAACCGCTCCGGGGGTGACTCTGGTAGTGGCTGGTCATAGCTTCTTCCTACCCTCCTCGTCGACAGTCTTCGCGAACGCGTTTATCGCCGTGGCTGAAGCGTTGCAGCTGGCAGCCTTGTGTCCTACTTCTCCGCATCTTCGGCAGCACTCTGTCCTGTCCGGTCCCACGCAGTCCTTAGACATATGCCCAAAACCCAGGCAGTGGAAGCACCTGACCTTTGGGTCAGCCAATCTAACCCTGCAGTTCACCCATCCGACCCGCAGTCTGCCCGAGCTGGCCAACCCGCGTGAGGAGGCCTGCGGGAGCGAGACCAGGGCTGTCTGAGCGCCCCCAAACCTCTTTCGGAGGCTTAGTATCTTCACAGCATCTAGGTTGACGTCTACAGCATTTGCCACTGCCTCTGCGACCACGTCGGCTCCGGTCCACTCGTCCAGGTCGCGGACTTCCACCGTCGCCCTTTGCTGGAGGGAATGTACCTCGACCTCCGTGCCGGCTGATCTGACGACTTCAGCGCGGACAGCCTCAAACCGGGCCTGGTCACCGCGGATCTCTATAAGAAGGCCGCCGGACTTAGCTTGGCGTACGCCAACGATGCTGTCGCCGATGACGTCGGCGTTGACGCCGCTCCGAATCTTCTTCGCCAGTTCGGGGAAACCTTCGGCACCTGCCTTCACCAATAATGCCGCAGGGCGCGTTCTGTTGCGCGGCTGTGGGGTGGGTGTCTTCCCGAGGTTTCCAGCTGTTCTCTCCAGCCGGGGCTCTCTTACGGCTGCTTTCTCCGTTGTTGCCACTGTCTGCCCTTTCGACCTCCCCTTCCTTACCACCTCCGTCCATGATTGTGGCGCGGCCATCATTTCTTCCCGGGTCATTGACTGGGCTGGCGCAGCGCCGATGTCCCACCAGCAGGGAGACTGCGTGCCGGCTTCTGTAGAAGGGGCTTTTGGTGGGTTGGCGTCACAATTAGTTCTCTTTATTTCCTCCTCCTTTCTGAATAGCCTTTTGGTGTCATTGAACGCCATGATCACTTTCTTGTGGCAGCCCTCCATGGCGTTGAGCACTTCCATTAGCTCACTGATCGCGGTTTTAGCTGGTTCTGAACGTAGCTTATCCTTAATACCTTCCAACGCCGCAGCCTTGGCAAGCAGTAGTTTAATGCCTCCGTCTTGAGTTGCCACGCATTGGCCTAGATGACCGAGGGCCAAATAGGCTGACTCCTTACCTGCCTCCGCATGGTTCTTGCCAGTTGCACCGGAGGGGTCCATGGCAAGGGGGAGGTCCGGTGACCCTTGCCCCCTTTGATACTACCACTTCTCCACTCAGCGGCGAGCAGTGAAGCAGTGCAGGGACCAAATCCGAAGGTATCGGTGCCTGAACTAGCTTCGGGTGTGACTAGTTGGTCACTCACCTCACTGTCCCTATCCTTACTCCTCCCCTGGGGAGGTAGGGGGGTCAAACCTTTATCACAATATACCTAGCGAACGAAAATCGAATGGTTCCATTAATAGAGTCACTTATAAAGAATTAGGGTCTAGTCTAAGGTTCAATATTTGAGATTACATATCAATGAGTTTACCAAACAATAGATCTTTTAATGCTGTTGGTGTACTTTAATTTTTTTCAGCTGCCACAAAATGCCGAAGAATGGCTACAGATAGCAAAAGATTTCAATGATAGTTGGAATTTCCCTCACTGTGTCGGTGCAATTGACGGGAAGCACATTTTAATACAAAGTCCAAATAAAAGTGGATAGCATAGTTTTGATGGCGTTAGTAGATGCCCATTATAATTTCATTTTCGTTGATATTGGGTGTCAAGGAAGGATAAGTGATGGTGGTGTATTTCGAAATACAACTCTGTGGAAGAAATTAGAAAATGACCAGCTTATGTTATCAGCAGATGAACCGCTTCCGTCTAAAACCAACACGTTACCATACGTATTTTTAGGAGATGACGCATTTGCCTCGAATAAACACATTGTAGTAACCCGTCGCTCTCACATGATTGGTTACTGCACACTTCTTTAACGACGAATGCACGTATACGTCGTCGCAATGAATCGGAGGATGGTGGTTGAAGTGAAGGTAAAGTAAGAATGTTTAACACAAAATGTATTTAATTATAGATATAATGTTTATTAACACGAAACTAATAATATAGTTAATTTTAAGTAATTTAAAATTTGTCGACAGAATAATAATTCTACCGGAGAATAGTTGTAATTTAAATTATACTTGATGTGGACGGCGATGCGGCTGTTTCTAGTCCGCGACCCACACAAGTATTGTAAAGCACTGGTAATTACTTCTATGTCTAACAAGTCTGTGAAACAGGGCCCCTATTTATATGAGACATGCCCGGGATTTAGGAAAGGATGATTGACGTCATAGGAATGGCGTGATGCGTAGTCGATCAGTATTAACCAATGAGGCGGCAGCCTCAGTGGCCTATTTTGGTGGCGTGATGTTGTTCAGGCCACCTAACCTTTGGATAGCCATTTTTGTGCAAAAACGTCGGTTTACTACAACATTATGAAACCGTATAGTGGCGTTTGACGCGGGCTATGGCGGTGGTGTGTGTCGCGGTAGTCCGTCTCGGGTGGTTTTTTGGAGTTGGGTGTATATCTCTGGTATTCACAAACGTAAGATTAATAAACACGCGTCTTTGAGTGAATGGTAATGTCAGTTTGTGACGTTTATTGGAACAAAAACAAAACAGTAGGTATCACGGAAGCACAAATTAATACAACGATCAAGAACAGAGATGGCCGGTTGTTTTTCGTGCGTCGCGTTTTACCGTTGGTGGTCAAGAGGACGAGCTGCCGGCGGCCGGTACTCGTCTTGCGCGACTTGCCTTCCCGTCCCGCCTTGTGCCTTTGTGGCGTGGGAGAGTTGGCGATGTCGCGCTGTAGCGCGTGGTGGCGGTTGACAGAAGCGTAGACCGGCCGCTGCGGTACCTGTACTTTGTACTGGTTGCCGCTGCCAGGGTGTGTTCACTTAGATGTGCATGATTATGCCATTGAGTTTCCACGCATCGGTCACGGTGAGCGCTAGTGTCGCATAACAAAAAAAAACTGCCACTGATAAGTAGATAATAAATTCTAGGCGAGATACTTATATACCTTGTCTATTCGCTCAAAACTGTTAAAGTTAAAAGTGCTGATTCACTTCACTATTTCACTATTTAGTATAGTAACACTTAATTTTTTAATAAAAAGCTGCCTACTGATGCTGTGTGAGAGGATGCGCCAATAAAGGTATCATTTTTTTTATTAATTCTTGTTATCTCAAGCTATTAAAAATCTTAGATTAATATTAACAGTAATATTGGGTTTAAGGAGGTATTTCACACAGGTTCCCTAATCCTAGAACAAATTTAGACCTTCTACAAAAGTGGATTCAACTTATAGGATTGGATCAGTTTAACGAATTGTCATCAAATGAAATTCATTATAGGAAAAGAATATGTTCCATCCATTTCAATAGTAATTGTTACAGTCCCGGTACAAAAGTCTTAAACTACAATGCGGTTCCTTCATTAAACCTAAGTAATAAAAATTATTATTCAATAACAATAAATTAATAGATACTATAATGTAATTGTATTTCTCTAGTGGTTATTGATGACATTTCTACCAATGATACCATTACAAATCTAAGTATTGAAGATACAACTGAGAGTACGGGCTCTGCTAAATCTATGGGTAAATAAAACACTAATTTCTTTAAGACATTAATATTATGTAACAATAATTAGATATTGTAAATTGTTTTATTCACTTTTAATACTAATATAGTTTTGAACGATATACCTAGTACATCTACAACTAATGAATCATCATACCTCCATACTACTAATGATGATCAAATGTGTTTTGGATTAAGTGGTTTCAAATTATTGGACAGTGTTGAGGAAAATGATGTGTTGCGTAAGTAATATTGTATTAACAATTAATAAATGCTTTTTGATTTATTATATGACACTATGCCGATTAAAACAATTTTTTTAAGCTTAAATTATGTTTTGTATTTTGTTTAAAGCTTTTACAGGTAATATGCTTGATAACGATGATGATGTAGTTAAAAAATCAAATTTAAAGAAAAAATCTCAAAATAATGGTTACTATTTGCTTTTAATCTATAGAACTTATGTACACTTTAACACCAATTATTTTTTTTTAAATTGATTGTGGTGTTGAACGAATTAAGGTCGTTCACTTGTATGATCCTCCACATCTCTTGAAAGGTATTCGTAACGACCTTTTAAATAAAAATCCTATGTTCACTGTAAATGGCCAACAAAAAGAAGCATGTTGGAAGGACATAGTTGATTTATATGAAATGGATAGTGTTGCTCAAGATGTCAAAATGTTACCACGTTTAACCAGAGAACATGTAATTCCTGGTGAAATAAAAAAGATGAAAGTCAAGAACACCTCTCAAGTATTTAGTCAGCGAGTTTCATCAATTTTGTTTTTTTTTATCATGTAAGTAATAATATAATAATTTGATTACTAAACTAATGTTTCATGTTTGTGATCCTATATTATTAATTTAGTTATTAAATTTTATTTCAGCAAAGAATATACTCAATCAAAAAGCTGGAGATACAGCTACATTATGTTTATTTTTTGATAAACTGTTTGATTCTGTGAATGGCAGCTATGATAATGTGGTGGATGGTAAAATATTTCGTACAGCTGTCAAATAAAATTCGCCTCATCATCAGCTTTGGAGAGAATCTTTTAAAGTATTGGATACCATGTATTTTGTAGATCCTGTAACCAAAGAACGTTCAAAACCCCAACCACCCACCCTAAAAAACTGGGTGAAAACCATTAAAGGTAGCAATTTATTATATTTATTATATTGGTCTATAATCCATTCCTAATTGTGGGGCGACAATGCAAGACACTATTGGTTTTTACAAATTTTCTACTGTGTATTGGGTTTAAATTTCAAGTAAATGGTTAATAATACCTATTTAATTAAAATAACATAATATATAATACATAGCACATACTGATAGATTAATAAATATCTATTAATTTCATAGGTTAAAGGAATACATTTATGGAATATTGTAGCCCCACAATTAATAATTAATATATTCAATGAATCACATAACTAATAAATGTGCAAAACGCCAAAATATTTGGTAAATCAAATTTCTAGCCCTATGTAAAACTATTATTAAAGGTCACATTGACACTAACCTATTTGAATTTAACAGGATTTCAGACGATTTGTTCCACTTTGCAAAAGTGTGGGATTCGGTCTCTTCTATTGCGAAATTTTAACCAGGATTCGTTGGAAAATATGTTCGGATCAGTACGTGGTTTAGGTTATAGGAATAATAACCCTAACTGTATGATGTTTTCTTCATCATACAAAATGTTATTATCAAATAACCTAATGTCAAATCATTCACCAAGAAGCAACTGTGAAGAAGATTTGGGAACTAGTTCTTTAGCACAGTACCATACATTGTTTAAAACATTTGCTGACAACAAAACTAATCAAGAAGAAGAGGATGATAATGTAGAAACAAGAGTTTCTGATGGACCATTGAAGGTAAAATATAATTCTAATATCGAATCAATTCAATTGGAAAACCAAATAAAAAGTTATATCGCTGGCTACACCATAAAAAAGCTAAACACTACTTTTCTTAAAAATTGTTCTTTATGTTTGTCCCAAATTTGTACTGAATCAAAACATTCTGATGATCATCAACTTACATTAAGTAGAGACTACTGTCTTGGTGGTAAATATAATTTAAAATATCCAAACACAATGTTCTGTAAATTAATTCAGGGGATCATTGATTTAATTGCTAAAATACTGCCGTCCATATGCCATCATTAAAGTTTGAAAGCACATTTAATAAACACAATTGATCAACATTTTAATGTAAATGTAATCAAGTGTCCAGATCACCAATTACTTTTTGGAAAGAAGTTAAAAAAATTCACTATTAAACTTATGGTACATAATTGGTGTACCCATATCAACCGTTTGCTTGTTGGGACGATTAATTTATCAAAAAATGAAAATGATCATATCAAAATAAATGCCTTTTCAAGGTATAAAACATTTTCTAAAAAACTCAAATATAGAAAATGAAAAAATGTACCTTAATTGTGTGTGTTTCAGTAATTGGTGATCTGGACACTTGATTACATTTACATTAAAATGTTGATCAATTGTGTTTACTGAATATGACACAATATAATTCGATGCCGTAGCGCACAAGTGTGATAAGTGACATTTTTTTGAAAAATGAGTTAAGTGCATAATCAATTTAATCATACAATTCTGCACATTATGCCCAAACGTTGTAATTGAATAGTTCATTATTTACTCCGATAGATTTCGTACAGTTCGTTACATTTTTGAATTTGTTATAACATCTCAAACTTAAAAATCGTTCTCCTGAACAATTACGAAAATGTCACTTATCACACTTGTGCGCACGCCATCGATATGTTCCTTTATTTAAATATAATATAATGTTACGTATTTATTGTATTAGTTCCTTCATTGAAACTGTTTTTATATCTGTTCATAGGGTTATTATGTTTTTATTGTTTTAAAATATAAAAAATGTATATGTTTTACCGAATTTATATTTTATTTATGTTTATATTATGTTCAATATTGACAATATATGATTTATGAAAATAAACCTGAAATTATAATATTGATTTTTGTTGTTGTTTTTTTGCATTTAATTAATACAATGTGTTTTCATTTGATTAGCAAATAATATCTTATTCATATTTTTATAAGATATTTCAGTATTTATTTAGAAGTAACATAAAGAAAATAATGCATAATAAAATGAGGAAAAAGAGGATCTCGAATCTCGATAAATAATTATTTAAAAAATCGCGGGAATACGTCTTTTTGGACCTGGGAAGCCGTGGCCGCCGCCGCCGTAGTTCCTTACATCGGTCACCGGGAGCGCTTTTCTCAATGTTCCGAAAAATAACTCGGCAGATGCCTATCTATTAGTATTCTTGTCTATGGCCGCTGCGTACCGTGTCACGTATACGAAAAGGGAAATGCAAAAAGAATATTTAATTATCGATTATGTAGGGCACGACGGGTGGTGGAAAATGCCTTCGGTATAATGTCCAGTGTTTTTGGTGCTAATTCGGTATGCGCTCTACCGGTTTTTGTGTTCTACACTCGGTCTACGTTCGGTACGCGGATATTAGACTGCAATTACTGTATAATATGCGTTATCTGCCTCGGTTTTATATAATATGTTGGGTATTTCAACTGTTAATAATAACGATAATCTCTAATTATCTTTAGGTACCTTAAATTGTATTACTGTTGGTTTTACTTTTATTACTGTCGTCACACAACGCTCACGAAGGTTGTTCGTTACGAATATAATATATTTTTTTTAAAAATATTTTTAGTATTTCGTGTATTATTTATAAATTGTAATGGCTGTGATGACGTTTCGTGAGTTTTATACTACAGTAGTTCCAAATGAGATTGAGTGTCATCGGTTTTTAGTAGCAAAAGGATTGTTGAAAAGTGCCGAAGACAACGACCCTTGTCATAAATGTGGCACAGAAATGCAGGTAAAACGACGGAAATGCCGTAATGGAGAGTGGAAGTCGATTTTTCGGTGTCCAAAAAAAGGCTGTCAGACAACAAGATCACCGCGAGCTGGTAGCAGTTTTTTTCATTTTACTGACTTGAACCAACGTTGCAACAGTGGGTTAACACTTTGTCAAATTGTTGAACTTGTATTTATGTTTGTATTGGAATTACCCACACAAATGGTAATGGATCGAACAGGAAGAAGTAATGAGTGTGTCACCGACTGGTTTAACATGTGCCGAGAAGTATGTACAGCTATTTTGAAGACTAAAGGAAAAATGGTTGGAAATGTACAAAATCCAATTCAGATTGACGAAGCTCGTTTCGCTGGTCGAAGGAAGTATAATAGGGGTAGATTATTAGCTGGTGACGCTCCTTCCGCCTTGACAGATATAAATTCTGAAGTAATTAATAACCGAAATCACGGTGCAAGGGTAGATGGCCCATGGGTATTTGGTTTAAAAAATGGAAATGATTGCCGTTATTTTTATGTACATCGACGCTATCGAGAAACACTCCTACCAATAATTGAACGTGAATGCGAGGCAGGATCAGAAATTCATTCTGATGAATGGGCTGCATATAGATGTCGTACAAGCCGAGGTTTTGTACACAAGACGGTAAATCACCAAATCTCATATGTCGATGCAAATACAGGAGCCCACACTCAAAACATTGAGAGGTCATGGTTGGACGCGAAAATTAAATTATTGAAGAAAATGAGGGGTGTTCCTCTTAATCATTTGCAGTCCCATCTTGATCACTATTGCGGGCGACTTTACCGTCAAGACAGTCCGGACCTTTTTCTCGCCATGTTAGAAGACATTCAGATCGTGAATAATCGTTTTTGAATGAATATAAAATAAATCTCAGTCAAAACGACGTATGACGACTGTAGATCATACAGACTCAGCCACTTGTCTATAAAGAATCATTAATAAAATATAAAATATAAAATAACCGACTCGGACACTTGTCTGTAAACAGTTATCAATAAAATAATATTAAAAAATATAAATATACCGACTCAGACACTTTTCAGTAGAGCGCATACCTAATCAGCACTTGTTGGTAGAGCGCATACCGAAACAGAAACTTGTTGGTAGAGCGCATACCGAATCAGCACCGTGTTTTTAGAATATGCAAACGCCCAATTTTACTTGACACAGAAAAAGTGACCAATATTACAATGGCGTGTGTGTTGTTACACAATTTTTTAAAAAAAAGTAGAACATCATCTTCCAGATATTGCCCACAAGGAACATTTGATATTGAAAAAGAAGGTGTAATTGTTCCTGGATCGTCGCGTCAATACCACAATAATGAAGCCTCATTATTGCCGATTCGTAGAGTACCTCGTAGGTCAGGGAGTGACGCGAAAGAAATCCGGGAATTATATACGGAATACTTTATTACCAATGGTGCCGTCTCTTGGCAAAATAATTTTTAAAAATTTAAGTTATTAAGACGTAATTATTTTATAGCTATATAGTTTTGGTAATTTTTTATTATAATATAATATACGAGCACCTATGTATGATAGTTTTGTAAAGTTACTATTTGTCATTTGATAATAATAACTTTCAATTAAAATTATGTTTTTTTTTATTTATTTAAATTGTTTACATTACCTCTGAGTTTTTAGTAGTATGAGGTTTACATACTCTGTGTAGAAATCTAGCCAGTCAGGTTTGAAGATGTCATCCAAGCCTGAACCCGTTTTTTTGCTAGATTTTACTCTGTTTGCAAATTTTCTAAATGTGGCAATCAACGAATCCTTTTTCTTTTTTAATTCGCCAATTGATTATTTTTGGCTGAGGTTTTTTGAAATGTTGTCCCAAGAATCATTCACAGAATTGTAATGGGATTACGTAATATCATGTATTTGCTCATAATAACAACCAGAATTGGGATTACGCAATATCATATATTTGCTCATAATAACAACCAGGAATGCGACCACACCCAAAAGTGTTTTCGACTAAAGAATACCACTTTCATAGTCGTGACTCGTGAGGTCCATATCAAGGACGACTGTACACGCGCCGCTCACTTCAAAGGACGCCGCCACCATATATATAGGGGACAGCGAGACAGCCAAAGTAGATGTAGGTACCAGAGCCGCCAAGACCGAGCGAGCCGTTTAAGATTAACAGGAATTTTAGCATATTTAAACATATCGGCAATTAGCGTTAGGAATAACGATGATTATATATAATAGAATTAACAAACCTAGAAACTAAGCATATATTATATTCAGGCTATTTAGGTAATAAAAATAGTAGAATGTTAGGATTGTCAGAAGCTCATGAACTAGCATGCGATATTAAGCTTAATATTACACATTGTCATAATCCGGTTGCAGACCTAATTTTAACGAAATGCTTATTCAATTACATAGTAACAAAGATAAAGCCCATTAAACTATATAATTTAGCAAAAAAAAATAATTATGAAATTTTAAAAATAAATAAGTTATTATAATTAATAATAAATCTAACACAAAATAAATTAAACAATGAAAACAAATAAATAAATTAACATTCATTATATATCCAATTACATAATGAATTACCTTAAGTAAATCTATAGTTGCATATGTCTATGACAAATCTAACAATTATTCACGTAGATTAGTATATAGGTGGAAGATAAATATTATTATTATATAAAAGGAGAAATACTTAAATTGTATACTTACGTAACGCTTATAATGTTATAATTTCAGGTACCTATATTATTTTATTAAAGATTATT